GGTGTGGAGTTTCGCGCGCGGGATGGAGGCTAGTGACTGTTTCCGTAGGCATCCTCGACTCGTCGGGGATCATGGGGCATTACTCAACCCCTAACCCCAACCCCCATCATCAACAATAACGACACCAACAACCCGCACCATGTCCACCGCCATGGCCCAACGCCTGCCAGGGCAAAACCATCCTTATCACGGGGGCCTCGTCCGGCATCGGGCGGAGCTGCGCGCTCGAGTTCGCACGCACCGCCCCGCGCGACCTGCGCCTGGTGCTGACGGCGCGCCGCACCGACCGTCTGCGCGAGGTCGCCGAGCAGATCCGTGCCGAGGTGGGCGACGGCGTCAAGGTGCTGCCCGTCGAGTTGGATGTGGCGGATCCGGTGGCTGTGAGGGGGTTCGTGGAGAAGTTGCCGGAGGAGTGGAGGGGGGTGGATGTGTTGGTTAATAACGCGTGAGTTTTTATTCTTTCTTTTCTTATTCTTTTCCTTTTCTTTTTTTTCTTCAGTGTTTTTTGTTTTGTTTGTGTGGGGAAAGGGGGAGTGCTGACATTGGTTATAGCGGGCTGGTGAAAGGAGGTATGAGACCCTGAAAAGACCGAGCATATACGGGTTTTGGTGTGTGAGTGAATACTAATAAACACCAACGCAGTCGCCCGCGCCCCTGAGATCGCCGAGAATGACATCAACGTCATGTTCCAGACCAACGTTACCGGCTTGATCAACATGACCCAGGCCATCCTGCCCATCTTCAAGGCCCGCCCCGAGGGCGGCGCCGGCGACATCATCAACATCGGTAGCATCGCTGGCCGGGAGCCTTACCCCGGTGGCAGCATCTACTGCGCCACAAAGGCTGCCGTGCGCGCTTTCTCCGACTCACTGCGAAAGGAGCTGATTGATACTCGGATCCGCGTCATGGAAGTCGACCCCGGGCAGGTCGAGACGGTGGGTTACCGAATCATACGCCACGCTGCCGGTTGGTGCTAACGGTACATGGTTAGGAGTTTTCGGTCGTCCGGTTTTACGGCGACAAGTCCAAGGCTGACGCTGTTTATGCGTATGTTTATTATCGTCTTATTTCTTATGCTACGAGAAACAGCGACTGACACCGCTGCAGTGGCTGCGACCCCCTGACGCCCGAAGACATTGCCGAGGTGGTGGTCTTTGTTGCTGGTAGGCGGCAGAACGTGGTCATTGCCGACACACTAATTTTCCCCAGCCACCAAGTAAGTTTTTTCAATGGCCACTTATCCAAGCCATGCTGACGGTTCTCAGGCTGGTGCTGGTACTCTGCACCGCAAGACATGATAAATGGTAAACGGGGTTGATAGCGGTGATATTCAATGGCTCTTGTAGTGAGAGATGTTACAGCAAACGTAAACTTTGTAGATGATAAGATGCTTTTACAACATCTTCCTTCCTTATTTTATTTTGTTCGGACGCCTGGTGGTGACGGTGGCGGTGATGAACAAGTGGAGCGGAAGGAGAGCTGGAGAGCTTGGTCCGGTAACCCTAACCCTATTTATTGTCTCATCTCACATAGGGCACAAATTTTGCAGCGTGTATTAGCCACATGACTAAGGTTGTGTAGTGTAGTGGTTATCACTCTGGATTTTGACTACGCGTCTCACCTTCCAGTAACCCCGGTTCGAACCGCGGGCACGACCTCAACTTTTGTTCACTCAATCAGCTCGCTTTCTTTTTTTGGTTTCAACACTTACTGAAGCTGTATTAGCCTATGTTTGTTTCCTTTTTTTTCTACGGAAACTTTACTCGCTGGTCTCCTTACAGAACAAGACAGTACATACCCCAAATCTTGCTCGACTCATCCTTGTTGTCCGCCTTTTACAATCTATGCACGTGGTTGATGTTAGTTCCGAGGCAGTGTATCTCAGCGTCTTTTTGTCTCCTTCTCTCTTTCCCTTCACGGTGCGTCTCGCTGGTCAAAGTAGGCCCTTTGAACTTCGCCCCCAGATCAGCGGGTAGATGCGGCTGTCCAGGGGCTATCCTTCGATCAAACAGAGTCAAGGGGGGTTATGTGATCGAGGCCTCCCACCCCCGCCATGTTTTAACTCGACGATTATTGACTCGAGTTAGTCAGGCCTGGAACCTTCTTGTTAGGAGCTAGCTCCGGACACCTTTGGGCATGACGTCAGCTATGTTTGATTTCGTTGCCCTCAAGGGACACTCCCATGATGCACGCCTGCACTGCCACCGCCGTTATACAGACAGTCCCTTTGCACAAGTCGACATTATGGGTCAAAGGTCAGCTGTTACAACACTGGTTGGGGTGTGAGAATATTTACCAAATATTAGGGTGAGGGCTGGACAGAATATCAGGTTAACATGGCAGCCGATATCATCGTGATAAATGTCTGTCATTCGGGGAAGCTTGCCATTCTGCAGTAGGCTAGAAAGAAAAGATAAAGTCGTCGTATCTGCTCAGTCGAGATGGACCCAAGACAACCAGCAACATGGGGCACCTGACAAAAGTTCAAACAAAGCAAACAGCAAGGGGGGCAACTCAGCCAAGCGCCTAGACCTTGAGTCTCCCACCTACCCCTCCCTTGCCTGATCTGGAAGGATATAGATGAGCTTTGCGTCCGTGTTGCGGTGGCCGCACTTAGATACATACCCTCCCTCCTCCTGACGTCTTCTGGGCTTGACCTTCTCCACCTCGTCTCTCCTTTCCTCTTCCCCTCTTCGTGTGTTGACGATTGCAGTAGCTGAAGCATCGCCATTTTACCAAATCAGTACTCCTTATACGACCGCTCATCAACGCCGAAGGTATCGATCATGTCAGGTATGGTTCTCCCCCTTCCCTCCCATCCTCTCCACGGCCCCGTCTCCCAGCTCAACCCCAATCCCTTTCCCAATACCGCCACCCTCAATTTACTGGCGACCCCTAACCCGACCTAGACGACAGGAAACAAAGTACTGCTAGCACCAACCCCGAAAGCCCAACGACTCAGCAGTTCCCAAAGTCGGGGACAGGAAAAGAGGTCGCTCCCTTGAGCCCAACCTCACGACTAGAGCCACCAGCAGACCCAGCGCGGCGAGGCAGCGACGAGTGGGGTGCGTTGTCCCCTTTATCGCCATCTTCCACCGTGCCATAGCCCTGTCCGCCGCCTCCTTGTAGTGCTCTACCTCTCCAACATCACGCCATCCCTCTTTTCCCTGATTTCTCTCCCCTTCCTCTCTCCCACATACCAATCTCCCTACTCTCCAATTACCACCCCACTTCCCTCACCTCCACACAAGCTCAACTAACAAAACACCCAAAAGACGCCTCCAAGGTCCCCCCCTCCCGCTTCCAGAAGCGCAAGGGCTCCATCTACGCCGTCCCTCACTCGCGCGACGGCAAGATCGACAGCAACTACCACGCCAAGTACTTTGAGAAGCTGGCTGAGATGGGGTATGACAAGAAGTAATGAGAGCTCAGGAGGGAAGGTTCCATTGCATCATATCTCATCCCGTGGGGGGGCTAGGCAGCCATCTTTCATTTTTGGAGGGGTGATTGGAAGGACGTGTCTGTGTATGCCGGCTGGGTATGGCATGGCATGGGTCGTTACTGTTTCTGTTTGGCCTTCGGGGATGGAAACTTGTTGACCTAACTGCAGGTATATACCTAGGTGCTGATGTTTGCTTCGTGGACTCACCCACTGTATCGAAATCCAAAAAAACAGGCACTTCACATCGACCGGGAGGACGGAGTTTATTCGTTCGTTCGGCCGTCCGATCCGCTTGCTTCAACCTAGAAACTGATGAGTTCTTGCGATAATCTTCCTGCAATAATCCACCTATCCTACCCGTGCCGTGCCCCCCTCCCCCCACCCCGGAATAGATCCCCTTCCGTGGCCCCCCTCCTGAGAGAAAAAAAAGAAAAGGCGTACACGACCCCTACCCGTCCAAGTAGAGAAATCATCATTCGTCCATATCGTCAAGATCGATGGCGTCAGGGTTCGACACCTCGACCGCTTGGCTGGTTACATTCCCCTTGAGCCCCTCGGACGCCGCCACAAACCCGGCCGGCGCGCGGGCCTGCCTCTCTAGCTGCTCCATCGCGTCCGCGACCTCCTCGTCGACCTCCCCCTCGCCGTCTTGCCTCTGCAGCTGGCTCTTAGCAAGCGCCTGCGACGCGATGAAGTTAACATCGGTGTTGTACTGCGCCTGGACGCTGCGCTTGATGCGCAGCATCTCCTTGAACGTGTCTTCGTTGCCGTGCTGCACCTCGAACTGCTCCCACTTGGTCCAGAAATCCGGATTCGTCCGCGGGTCGCAGAACTGTGACGCGTGTCCGTAGATGGCCCTGGCGCGGTCGATTTCGCCAAGCCTCTTCTCCATGTCGGCAAACTTCAAGCACATGTCGCGCGCCTCGTTATCCGGCAGCGTCGCGATGGCGCGCTCGTAGATGGGGCGGGTCGACGGTAGACCGAAGTTGGAGGCCGACTTGGTGATGTAGAAGTTGAACATGTCCGCCCGGTCCTCGTCCGATACCGCCCGCGTAGCGCGCTCGTAGATGCGCATGGCGTGCCGCGCCAGTCCGCGCTCCTCCTCAAGATTGCCGTACATGAGGTAGATGACTTTGGCGAATTTGGGCGGGCAGTCCAGGACGGCCTGCTCAAATAGATCTCGTAGCCGCTCAATGCCGATCTTGCGATCTACCGCTTTGGTGAGGTAGAGATTCCATAGCTCAAAAGCAACCGGGTAGCTGAAGAGATCGAGGCCGCGCTCGTAGATCTTGAACGATTCTTCAAAGTATTTGTGCTCTTCGAGGAGGTTGGCATAATTTACGACAGTTTGTGGTGTCGCAATCCGGAGCTCAAATATCCTCTCGTAGACCTTCTTGGTCTCGTCGAGGGAGCTTACGCTCTCCACAAGGTCAACGTAAAAGCTCCACAGCTTCCAGCTCTTGTGCACACGTTGTTGTGGCGATAGCGTCTCGTCGAAATAGTCTACCGTCGACCTCTTAGGCGCTTGAGTCGCCTTGGCCATGATCTTGACGGCCTCGTCGAAATTCTCATTTCGCAGCTCCATCTCGGCCCATTCGATCCACATGTCGGCGAGCTCCGCTACTGATTTGAACGGGACCTTAGTTGCCTTCTCCATAATGACCCGCGCATTCCGCAAATCTCCTCCCTTCTCGTAGAACTTGGCATAGTTGGCCCATAGCTGGTGGAATGCGCCGACCGCTTTCTTCGGCTGGATGGCGGCAATGGCGTCGGTGTACGTCTGTACCACCTCTTGCTTGTTCTCACCCCATAGCGCAACACGCTTCTCCCACTCGGTGACACTGTTGGGGTTCTGTCGGAGCAGCACGTCGTTCAGGAGGAAGGGCCGGCGGTCCATGAGGTGCTCGAAGCGCATCATGCGGATGTCGAGATCGAAGTCGGCCCCTTCGTCCACCACGCCCTTTTCGGCTCGTTTGGAAGCAACCTCCATTAATGCACCAATGATGGATTCTTCAAACTCGGTGTACGAGTCGAACACGAGCGTAAAATCTCGCACCGTCATGACCGTAGTGATACCCTCCTCAAACACATCTCTCGCTTGTTCGAAATCGCCTCGCCGGATCCAGTAGGTCGCCAGGCCACACCACAGCTTCCCTCTTTGGTCGCCAAATCGTTCGATTCCGCTCCGGATGATACCTTCCACGTCGATGTCTGCTTCATGACCCGTGTCTATGTCGACCGCATGCTCAACCAGCAGGTCGACCATCTCACTCCATATCTCGTAGTGTCCCTTTGCGTTTTTGCTTTGGAACCGCGGGTTGTTGAGGATGTCTGTGTACTTGTTGACGGCCTCGGTGTAAAGCCCGGTATGAACTAGCAGCTCGATAAAATCCTCGGCATCCTCGGGGTGGACCTGCATGTACCGCCGCCAGACCTTGACGGCCGTCATTCCCTCGGCCGAATTTGCGAATGGCCGGTACAGCGCCCATATTCTGTTGTGTTGGGTGATGGGGAGCGCCCGGAGTGCCCGGTCGAAGGCGTGTCGGGTGGAGGTCACGAGGGGTTGCTGCATCAGGAACTTGAGATACATCTCCCATATCCTAGGCATTTTGTTGAGGAGAATGAGCGCTCGTTCGAATAGGGCGTTGACTTTTTGGTATTCGGCAGCGAAGATGGCGGCATTTAGCTTGGCGATATGCTTCATCCTGAACCTGAGATACTACCGGGTTGGGTTAGCAAGGACCGATGCGGCTGGCGGAATTGGAGCCTACCATCTTCCACAACTTGTACGACCGCGGCAGCTGGACGCATGCCCGCTCCATGACAAAAGCCTGCTCTCGTATTGTTCCATGTTGGAGCTTGTATTCGATGTAGGCGAGCCACGGTTTGGTGCTTCCTGGGTTACGTTGGATGTCTTGCTCGTAAGGGAAATCGTCCTCCGACTAGAACCCGCGTTAGCAATGCCGGGATCAGCTGAACGGGAGGCCGACAGCGTACCACTAGGACCAAGTCTGGCTGGCGGTCGGAAGGGGCGTTCAAAGCCATTTTCTCGGCGTGAAAGTGTATCCTCGTTGCGAGAAACCGATTGGCGCTTCCGGCGCTGGGGGATGGGGAAAGGGGGAGGTGGTTAGAAAGCGCGTTGCCGTGACATCACTGCCAGGTCGTCGAAATGATTGTACGCGTGACGGCGGGACAGCAGCGGCGAGGTTGCTCGGTTTCCGTGCTGCGTTTTTCGAAATCTCGCGATTGGGCGCGCTGGTTGGAGATAGATGTAACCTCCGGTGGGACCCAACGTCCATTAACGGCGGGTGCTCGGGCCATCTCACGCTGCAGCGCCGCAGGGATCGAAGTTGGTGGGGCTAGGTAAGTGCCAAGTTAAAACGACCGTTCAGTGGCTCGTTGCACTGTCCGTCAGTTGGTTGGGTGCTGCAACCTTCCGTCACTGTCGCGAGCTTCAAGCTCCACAACTCCAACCGGTCCTCCTTCAACAACCGACATCTTACGCTTCCGCCCGTCACTCACCGAGAGGACTACCCGAATCTTTGTTTCCAAGTTTCGACAGTTACTTCCTTAGAATTACCTTACCCCCTACCCTCGAAACTTCGCGACAATGTCCGGCGCAGGAGTGCGTTGCCCCAGCTCATGCGCCCCCACCACGAGACGGGCCGGTAGCTGACCCAAGACAGGACCGGGAAGCCGTCTTCCCAACGCGGCAGTCCCTAGGCATAATGAAAGCCAAGCTCAAGGGCGCTGAGACAGGCCACAGCTTGCTCAAGCGGAAAAGTGAGGCTTTAACCAAGTATGTCCCCCCTCCCCCCCAACTACAACACCAAGTAACTAACACCATACCCCCCCTCTCCCTAGGCGCTTCCGAGGTAACCCATAACCTACCACCCACCCTCCCCACGAACCCTTCCATCTGTCTCAACCATTAACACCCCGGCCCCCTCGCAGACATCACCCGGCGGATCGACGAGGCGAAGCGCAAGATGGGCCGCGTGATGCAGATCGCGTCGCTGTCGCTGGCGGAGGTGACGTACGCGGTGGGCGGCAACATCGGGTACCAGATCCAGGAGTCGGCCAAGTCGGCCCGGTTCCGCATCCGCGCCAAGCAGGAGAACGTGTCGGGCGTGCTGCTGCCCGCCTTCGAGAGCTACCTGACCGAGGGCAACAACGATTTCGCCATGACGGGGTTGGGCAAGGGCGGCCAGCAGGTCCAGCGCTGCCGCGAGACTTACGCCCGCGCCGTCGAGGCGCTTGTGGAGCTGGCGAGTCTGCAGACGGCGTTTGTCATCTTGGACGAGGTCATCAAGGTTGTTAATCGGAGAGGTGAGTGCCCCGATTTCTGGGGTTCATTCTTTGGTTGTAACTTGGTGCTAACTTGGGACTAGTTAATGCCATGTAAGCTGTGCAATTGTTGTGAGCATGGTGCATTTCTAACGGCAGGTAGCGAACACGTCATTATTCCGAGGACGGAGAACACCATCAAGTGTAAGGACCATGGAACCCACGTTCCTATCTCTCCGCAGCCACTAATAGTTAGTAGATATCAACTCGGAACTCGACGAGCTCGACAGAGAAGAATTTTACAGACTCAAGAAGGTGCGTGTTGCAGTCCCTCTTCGGGATTCATTTGCTAACTCCGAATAGGTCGCAAACAAGAAGCAGCGGGACACTGCCGCCGCAGACGCCGAGATGAAAAAGCGAAAAGAGGAGAGTGAGGAAAAGGGAGAGGAGAATGTAGCGCCGGGGGCTGAGGATTCTGCCGGGCCGACGGATCTTTTAGTAGCTGCTGAGGATGAGGATGTGATCTTTTGAATGGGTTGGCGAGGCCAGCCTTTGTCGCGTCATGATGTTGGTAGATTTATTGGTCGATACCGTCGTTTGTCAGGCATTGGCGCAATTGGGAGTTGCTTGCTTTTATTGCATTGGGTATCTACGGTAGCAGCAATCTGTATTATCGTAACCAACGTCTTATCTAAAGCATGTCCCTTCCCAGACCAAGATCCGTTTTTAAAACCCGAGGGCTCTACTGCCGCTGGTAGGTCACCTTCATCATCTTTTCGCCGTTCTTCAGTGGCATGCCAGCCGTGTTCTCCTTGGCGGTAATAGCACCCGCCTCGGCTTCGTATTCGACGAAAGCGATTCCGCTGCGGCCAGGCACCGTCCGGACCTCGCGGAAACCTTCGAAGCGGCCGAAAATGGCGTTGAGCGCGTCCTTGTCGAAATCGTCTGGTAGGTTCTGGACGAACAGAATGCGGTTGGGTGGCAGGTACTCGTCGGGCACAACGGCGGTAGCGCCGGCTCCGGTAGACTTGAGACCCGCGCCGCGGGCGTTCTTGGCTGGGCGGGCGCCCACTTCGGCAGCCGCACCTGGCATGGGGCGTTTGAGACGCTTCTGCTCTTCGGCGGTCTCGAGGGCCTTCTTTTTGTCTGCCGTCGGAGATTAGCGGGCTTGGGCGGATGATAGGCGTGGGCAGAACCAGGAAACGCATACCCTTCTCGGCCATGCGCCGGCGCTTGTGTGCGTCAAATTCTTCCTCGTTGCCCGTTTGCATTACCGTCGCATCACTCCGGGTGCGCGCTAGGGCGAGTTGCATCGGCTTGTCGAAGAGCTCGAAGCCATGGATGTCCTCAATGGCAGCCTGCGCAGACTCGGGCTTGTCAAAGACCACGAAAGCTTGACCCTTCGCCTTGAGGTTTGTCTTGGCCACGATATCAATCACGTTGCCATACTCGGAAAAGAGGGCACGCAGGGCCTCCTTGAGCGGCTCGGGCTTGACGCGCTCCTCCAGATTACGGACATAAACCCTGCGAAGCTTGCAGTTAGTTTCTCCTTACCAGTTTGCAAACGGAGTGATGCTTTGTATGTGTCGGAGTGCAATGACACATACGTAGCGATGGGCTGTTGTGCAGCCATGTTTTCTCTTTGCAGCGGTGCGGTTGTGGTTTCGCAGACCAAGTTTCTGGTGTTGTCGAAAGTTTGATGGTTCGAGGCTCAGGTGCTCTAGCGAAGTCGACTGTGTGTTTCCAGTGATCGGGGCCAAAACTGCCGATGCCCGGTACTGTTGGCTTGGCAGTTGGCGTGGGAGCTGCATGCTGTGTCGAAGCGGCCCGCGAGAACGCCAAGAGGCCCCACCATCAGAAGACCAAGGGGAAATGATTGCCAGGATAAGGCGCCACAGCGGCATCTCGCAAGCGGCGCGATGACATTTGCCCACCATCCACTGCCCAAGTGTTGTTGACAACCTTCAACTTTCAACTCCTGTCTGCTTCCTGCAGGCCCCCTTACAATGTACGATTAAGGCAGTGTCCCACACAGATGCAAGACACGGTGTTTCTGCGTAGTGCGTGAATACGCGCTCCTTTCTTTTGTCGCGACCTGCTTGCCCCGGCACGGTTTCGGGTTTCTAGGATTGCCCGTCCTGGGATTCTCTGGGTTCCCGAGGTTCCCGCTCGCCACATCCAGGTACCTCGCCTAGTCGCTCGACCACTCCACGATCGGTTCACACTCGGTCCCGGGTCTGTATCTGAACCTGCCGTCATGGACCATACCATTATTCCAGAGGCTGTGGCGGCAGCGATGCCCGGGGCGCTCGACAATGCAAGTGCTTGGCACAACTTCACGATATGGACGGCCCAACATTTCGGCTTGGCAGTAAACATGACAAAGTTGACGCCATCGTTGGAGGATCTCGTTTGGGCAGGCCCTCGCATGGTTATGAGATTGGGCCGGCTGGGCTCTTTCATCTCCTTTCCAGATGCCATTGACGCCTTTGGTCAGCGAATCGTGCCCGATGCAACGAACAGCGACCTATTTTCCACCTCGACAATAATGGCGGCTGACCTTGTCGAAACCCTTACCGAAACTACATTGACCGCTGCGTCTTCTGCGCCCAGCTTGGCTGCTGCCGCCGTCGCCGATGCGGTGGCCCAGAATCCGAACGCTTTCATCTCGCGGTTCTCGATGGAAGGCGCAAAAGGCTTGGGGGGTGTATTCAGCTACGCCACCAGCAAGTGGGCGCTCTGCTGCATTGCCATGGCCGTTATTTTCAACCGCACCCACATATTCGCTGCTACTCGCCGTAGGCTTCGGCTTCGATGGCACGTCCGCCTATTCATGCGCATCGCCCCTGTGATACTTCTTCTCCTCCAGGCCCGGTGGCTTCTACAGTCAATACAATGCCAGACCTCGCCCGACTTCTCCGAGCTGCGCTGGGGAAATGCGACCAAGAGTTCTGACCTGATGTTCGCACAACCGAACCACTTTCTCAACCGGCTCGGGTCGACTTTACTGTTCGGGGCCTCCGACGAGGAATCATGCCGCTCGGTGAAGATGATCCCCTGGGATGATCGAGAGCAGCCCGAGCTAGTGGGCTCTCTCTCCCGGCTTTGGCCGCTATTTGGGACATATTGTTTGAGCCAGTTTATGGAAGTACTCTCTTGTGCAGTGCAAGGCCGCCCGGTAGCTGCTGAAACGGGCATGACGTTGTTCGAGCACTCCCTAGCGTTTGCCGAGGCTGATGCTGCTATTGGCAACCAGCTAGGGTGGAGTCTCTTTACCAACGGCACCGCCACCTCGCAAGCAGCACTCGGAACCAAGATCGCGCTCACGAGGTCCATGATTTTGAAGCGAGTCAACACGCCTGCCGAGGTACTTCTGGTGGCCTTCTTCTCCGCCATGAGCCATGCCACGAGCCACATTCTCGGCATATTTAACCTACAGGCCAAGGTCCGCCTCGTCAGCACGGGGTTCTGGGGTTTTTGCTTCATGTCGAGTCTCCTCTGGAGCGCTTTCAACTTCTCGGTCGACGATCCTTCGGCCCAAGGGTTACTGAGGTTTCCGACCGTGTGCATCATTGGCTTCATCCCCCATATCCTCATCCTGTTCGGGATCTACGCCTGCGGAGTCGTCTACGTCTCAGCCCTGGCGCTCTCAGCCGTTGCTACACCCGAGGGCGACCATAATGGAGAACGGCTCTCCCTCCGGCAACGCCTTCAGCGTGCCCATGCCAACATGCAAGCGAATGTATCTCTTTCCGACATTCGTATCCGGACGGATATGGATTTCTACACTGCCCTTTTGCGAGCAGGCTTCGGTGCCATCACCATGGCGAGCGAGGCCGTCTACCTCAACGAAGACCATCAAGTGAATTTGAAGAGATACACCTGGCTAGAAGACGACAGGTTCCGCGAGCTGGAAGAGCTTAGGATGCAGTGGATCGGTGGTGGCATTCCCGGATCACGATTCGATTCGGTCGGCACCATTGGCCTTGTGCCGGTCAAGGACGGACAGACGCATGCCATGAGCGGCTACGCGAGGGAGAAGGCAGCGCAGCAAATCCCGAAAAATAACACAGCCGCCGGCAGGAGGGTCCGGGACGGCGTGGGCGCCACGGAACGCAGTTCGAGGTGGCTTATTGCGTTTGAGTACATGATACATATCGGCAAACTAGTGTTTGTCATGTGGGCGTTGGTCACGGTCAAAACCATGGCAGTGTTCGGTTTACGAACGCCTCCACGGTGGCTCCAGGGTCTATCACAACGATCCAAACCCGAGTCGTCATCCAAAAAGTCCGGCCGACGTGGTCGCGGGCTGAACGTCGACGTCTTATCCCCCGGTGAAGGGAGGGTCTTCTTTGTGGTTCCGCGGGCCGATTGGGTGGACGTGGAGGCGGAACTACGCCGCCAAATGGACAACACTGATGGAGAAGTTGAAGCCAGCCATGGCAACCCTCCTGCCAACGAAACAGAAGTCGACTCCAAACTTTACAGCTATTTCCTCCGGGGGGGTTGGTGGGGAAACAACGACTCAAGCGGTGACTACGCCCCTCCCACCCCTCAAACTCCAGACGCCACCAACCTTGACGAACAGGATTTCGATGACACCACTAGTGTCATCTCGACAACCGAAACCGCGAGTGAACTCGACTGGGAGTCTGACAATGAGCCCCTCGACGACGGGCAGCGAACCCCAACCCAACAAAACCCCGCCCCCTTTTCTTTTGCTTCAGCAGTGGCATCTGCCCGCGCTTCGCGCGAATCCACCCCACTCCTTGATACCCCCATCGCAACCACCGACCTTGCCCGGCTACTGAACCCGCAAAGCCCCGAAGACCGCGACGAAGCTGTTGCGCTCGCCGCGCACTTGACCAGCGACGGCATCATGACGCGCTCGCGGTTCAAGCAGCAGCTGCAGCGCCAGCGCGCCCAGGTGCTCCTCACCAACAACCAAGCCGCCATCCACACCCGCCGGCAATTCGCCGCCCCGACCCAAGAGAAGATGACGCCCGAAGAAGAAGCCCGCGTGCTCGAGCAGCTCCTCCTCTCCCGGCGCGCCGCCGCCAAACAACACAGCTCCGTTGCTTCGCCACCACCACCGCCCGGCACAACAACCGCAGGCGGCGACGCCAACTCGTCCTGGGCGACGGGCGCCGCCGGGCTGGGCCCTGACGGGCCGCAGTGCGTGGTGTGCCAGAGCGCGCCGCGCACCATCATCGTGTGGCCGTGTCGGTGCCTGAGCCTGTGCGACGACTGCCGCGTGTCGCTGGCTATGAACAACTTCGACAAGTGCGTCTGTTGCCGGCGTGAGGTTATTAGTTTTAGTCGCATCTATGTACCTTAGGTTGGCGAGTGTGGAGAAGGGAGGGGGTAGCGTGTTTTTTTTTTTTTTCTTCGGGTTTGTTCGTGCAAATTTAATAATTGAGCAGTAGTTGTATTTCCTGTCCTGTGTTGTCATGGTCTCGGCGTGTTTAATCTCGAGCTTGGGCGTTGGGGTTCGCATTGCGTGGTCATTGTTGGGGGTTGGGGGGTTGTACATATTCTTGTCCGGGGAGCAACATAGAACAACAAGCATGCCAAGGCAATCATCGCTATTCTATGTCACCGGTCCTCAGCGTCAGAGACAGACAAATCGTAGTGTATATCAATACAACCGATCACCATTCAACAGAATCATAGAGCCATCGTAGCAAATCTCAAAGTAGAACGGGGTATCATATTAATCTTGCCAAATCCAACTGCCAGTTGACTACATACCAGCCCACTCAATACAAAACACCCGCACCTCCCCTTCCCCTCCCTTATCACCACCGTCACTAGCACCTCCCTCGGCAGGCTTCTCCGCGCCAAACAAAAAGCTCTTCTTGACCGCCGTGCCCAGCCGCCCACTCGCCACTAAGTCGAGCATCGCCACCTCCTCATCCCAACCGTAGCTGTTGGCCAGGTAGTGCGCGTGGTAGCGGAAGGGATCGCCCGGGTACACGCTGTAGTCGCCGCCGAAGCGGAGGCCAGGCGTCGTGTAGTACCCGCGGGCGTTGAGGTACTGGTAGAGAGGGTAGTTGGCCGGGCGGGAGATGCTGACGGGAGATGGTGGGGTGGGGGCTGGGAGGAGGGGCCTGCTCGTTGTGGGGGTTACGCCCGGGAGGGAGGGTTCTTTGGGTGGTGCGGAGAGGGGAGGTGCGGCGGGTTTGGGGGTGTCAAAGAGAGAGGTGTCTTCTTCGGTTTCTGTTACTGCGGCGGGGGGCTCGGCTACGGCAGCGGGTTTGGCCTTGCACTTGCCCTGGTGTTTCGCCTGTACCTTGGCCTTTTCCTCGTCGAAGACCTGCTGTGCGTTCCGGCGCTGCTGCTTGAGGTGCTGCAGGTAGGCCTTGCGGGTCGACGGGTTCATGGAGGAAAGCTGCGACAGGTGGTCGGTCAGCTCATCGGCGATGTAGCCAGCGCCCTTGTCGACGAGCAACCTAGCCTCCTCAGCGTGTAGCTCAACGGGCAAGCCGAGGAAAAGATTCTGCGTCGGATTCTGCGGCATGGTGCCCGTCAGGACAGCACAAATGCCGTAGTGACGGCGGATATGGACGACATCGTCAATGTCAAAGACGAGATACCGGCCCGCCACGCGCGAGACCCGGACCTGTCTTTCCGTCGATGCAGCCATTGCTCGAGGTATTCTGAAGTCCTGTGTCCGGTTAGAGACGATTCGAAAGCGCAGATTTGATGGTGCTTCAGAAGAGATGGAAATGGGAATCATAAAGTTTTTGATGATGTATGTTGTCGTCACAGAAAATCGGTGGATTGACAGATTATTATACAATGGATATAATCATTTTGTTTTCCAAGATATTTTTGAAAGGGGAATGTGACTGACCTTGCTTGTGGATGCTGCTGTGTTGAGCAGCGTCAATGAGGGAAAGGAAAGGATGGGGGATTTTTGAAGTTCGAAAATTTATGCGGGAAGCTCGTCGTCCATGGAGCCCCACATTGGCGGAAATGAGGAATTGGATTACGATCAAATACCGTATTTTGTAAAGTGATGGTGAAATAAACCCAAAACAACCACATCCGTAAAAACAGCCCCTATGCATAACTAAGAGTTTAAAACTCTCAAAAATACTATGTATATCGAACCGAATCCGCCACGGATCGACAGGGCCAGAGACTCACCCACCACCACCGGCAGAGCTTCTTAATCCCCAATCTTGTTTAACTTAGCAAAAATAGCAAGCATTGATATTGGTATCACTTTAGATCGAGGTGTGCTCATCTTAACATTGTCACTCTACATCATGTTTCCAGACAGGGCATAACTCCAAGATCTACCACCGTGGCGTTTCTCCTCAAAACTCAATGCCCTCCTTCCCCTTGCTTCCCGAAGACTTCTCCGCCCCTTCTTCGCCTTCCATTGGCGGCAGACTATAAGGCTTAATCACCAAACCCTTCGATGCACTGAGACTAAACGATAACGTCTCGCGAAACGAACTCGCCCCAGCCCCACCGCCCCCCTTTTCATGATACACCGGCAGGGTATGAACATATAGAAGGCCTTGAGCCTGGTCGCTTTTGTCTGCTCTCCCGGATTTAGATCCCGAGGAAGGGGGCGGTGGCGCGCCGGGGTTGGCGGGCAGCGGTATTAGCTCGATGACACCGTCGCTGAGGAGTTCGATCCATCGGACGAGGCCAGAGGTTCGTGGGTAAAGGGTCGTCGACAGTGTGATAATCGCGGTAAGTTGGGCTGGGTATTGGCGGAGGAGAGCTCGGATGCTGTGAAGGAATTGGAGGACTTCGGAGGGATGGGCGCAGTGCGGGGCGTAGAGGCTTGGGAGAAGCAGGCTGGGGAGGATTATACAGTGAATTTCGGTGGGTGAAGAGGTCGAGAGTTTGGTTTGTAAGTGTGTGATTATCGTTTTGAATGGGGTTGCGGTCTGGCTAGGCGGGTCGAACGTTGGCGGACATGTGCTCGGGGTGGGATGCAGTGAACCTTTGCATGCGCTTGGCAGAAGGCGTTTAGAGAGATCGAATGAATGGCAGAATGTCGCCTGGTTGGTGTCCCCCCTTTCTGTTGTCCCTGAAGTTGCTTTATTCCCTAAAGCCTCGTATCTCCAAGCGATTTTCATCTTCTCTTCCGGAGCTGGCGCTGGATGTGCTGCCTTAGCTTTGCTATCTGGCGCAGCTATGCCGGGTAACTGATGTCTCCATTCTGGCGGGTATCCAACAAGATGTACCTGGTGGCCCTGGACGAGACCCTCGGCGGCGTAGTATCGGAGCAAAACCCCTGAGAAATCAGTAGTTCCTTGTTCCTCGACCAACAGGCAGGTCCCCAGAGGCAGTCCTCCGTGCCCTGCGAGGAGTTGATCGAGCGATGACGTCCCCGTTGATGTGGTGGGCCGGCCATCAAGAGGCGACGGTCGAATCCCTGGCGCAAGTTGCTGCCTTTCAACTGTAGGCGCCGCCTGGGCAGGCGGCCGCTCTGGCCTTGCCGAGAGCACGGTATTTCTCCTCACGAATGACATGGTGTCATGGTTGAAAGTCGTAAGTGGTAACTTTTGGAGGGGTTGGAGGGGTGCTGATAAGGCAAAAAGCTCTTATCGACATGTGCCCCACATCACTGCAGCAGTGGGCAGGGGTTTTAATTGCGGCAGGCTCGTGAACGTTTCCGGAATTTTTTGTCACCAAGCTCCATCTTCTGCATCGCCATTCATCGTTGTTGGAAACCCGCGACCGCCTCCTAACATTCCGCTCGCACGAAGATCCACCTCATCAAACCGTCTCCCGTCCATCCTACACACCTCAGACGATCCATCGCCGCTATTTAAAAAAAATCGATCAAAATGTCTAACATCGCCTCGGACGCGCAGCTCTTCGAGGAGCACTTCCGTATTGAGCGGCTGGGCGATAACAAGTACGACCGGGTCGACCGTATTTATTGCAAGTCAGAAGACAAAAGCATCACCATGACCTTGGATATAAACAACGAGCTGTTCCCGTGCAAGCCCGACGAGGAGCTGCACGTCGCGCTGGCGACGTCACTACACTACGACGGCAGCAAGGACGACGAGCGCGGGTGGCGCGACGTCGCCAAGGCCGGGGCCAGCGATGCCACGCTGGCTGATATCTTTGACTATGTTTGCTACGGCAAAATCTACAAGTTTGAGGATGCTGAGGATGGGAAGACGATGTGAGTCAATCCCCTACGCGCGGCTTGGGTTGGCTGGCGTCATTCGTGCGGTAGAGCTAAGGAGTGCTGACGTGCTGGCTGGTGAATAGCAAGGCGTATATTTCGTTTGGTGGTCTGCTGATGTCGCTCGAGGGACCGTACAAGAAGCTGACGCCTCTGCGCGTGGACTATGTTTACCTCCTTGCCCGGAAGAGGTGATCGGCCTTTTCCCCAAGACTTACGGAGTTTGGATTTCAGGAGGATATAGATGATTTGCGGCATGATGGGAAGAAGGTTTCATGGAATATCTGGCGTTCAGGGATGACAACTTAATATTTTATGCAAGGATTCGGCGAGCATGGACAAACGATACCCGATGTCGCCGAACGGCCCGCTGCTTGTCGCTTTATGCCTTCCTCTCCGGCGGAGAGGCATGCTGCCATTGCGGCCAGTGTGGGCCCGGGAACTCGATGAAACGGTGTGACTTGGCGCAGAGTTCATCGTAATGCGGCTCGTTCTCGGGTGTCAGTATCCCGTGACGGGCGAGGAAATCGAGCATGACCATTGCGCAGTTTGGTTTCCATAGCCCCTGGGCTAGTTGCTCCTGGACCTCCTCCACGGTCCGGAGGCTGAAACTTTCAACCTCCCCGTCCTTGGGGCGCGGGGTGATGCTGCCGTCTGCGGGCAGCTCAAGGTCGTAGACCCATTGACACTCTGGATAAATCCAACCCGGCTCTCCCCCGGCGCGTTCGTCCGTGATGTAAATATACGTGATGGTACCAGTTTCCTTGAGATGCTTGCGCATAAAGTCCTCCGGCAACGTTGCCTCCTCGTCGGCTTCGCGGACGGCGCACTCAAACGGGTCCTCGCCAGTCGCCAACCCGCCGGCGGCCGTGTTGTCCAGCATACCTGGGTACGTTGACTTGTTGGCGGCACGCCTGGGTACCCAAATACGGAAATCATAGCGGCTCTTGTCGTCGTTGTGACGGATGAATGCCGTCATGTGTATGCCGTAGCGCGCAAATCCAAATAACCCCACGGCGACCCGCTCGACGCTGAACAGCAGTTCGCCCTTTCGGCCATAAACTGGGAAGAGCTCGTCGCGCCAGCCCTTGAGGATTTTGAATGTTTGGTTCTGGCGCCAGTGTGCGGCCAGCTGGGCCACGAGCTGGCTGCGCTTTTCCTCAGTGGCCGGTTCTTGGAACAACCGGATTGTCCTGGCATCATGGTCGATCTTCATAGGGCCTCTGATGTCCTCGGGGGTTTTCTCCAGGGCCTCGAGGACTGAGAGTGGCACATAGCCGATTGGGAACATTCCCTCGCTGTCTGTCCATACAAAAGTGTAGAGTCGTTTCATCTCTTCCGAGTATCGCTTAGGGTCTCTCTCAGGATGGGGGAACCTATGTGTGCATGTCAGCAGGTACTCCATGGGCACCAGGACTCACCAGTTCATTCCATGAGCCGGCGACTCCTCATTGTAGGAAGCCTTGGCCAGGTGGAAGAGAGAAACCATAGGATGGAGGTGCGGCTTACCCATCGACCTTATTTACTAAATCCAAAACGGACAAAAGAGGCGCCATGGTTGGGTTTTCCGGCAGGTTCGCAAATTTGAGTGGTTATACGCCAGGAGGTCAAAAAAACGAAGAAGCAGAATATTGGTGGTTCAATGGGGGGTTGGAATCACAAACTAGTAGATGTTGACAAAAAGGGATACAAGACCGCAGTGAAAAGGATAGGGGCTTAGTTTAATGTTAAGGCGGGGAGATCATGCGTGACCTTCCTGCATGTTTAAAACCCCTGCCTCCACTTGCAAAGCCTACGATACGAAGTATTTTTGTGTAGTAGTTATCTGATCCTACTGGTCGGACTGGTGTTCGTGCGAGAGTTCCGCTGCTTTTGGACACCGTTATCCCTTGATAGAGTATGGTAATAATCGGGAATAGGAAAGACATTGATTCAAGGCTTCCAGATCAAGTAAAGATCAAGTAATTCACTGATGACACCCAATCCGTTGTTTGCTGCGTGACGACCCTCGCGGACCCCGCCATGACCCGGGAAGGTGCTGCTGGTGGTTTCATAGGCAGTTGATGCTTGGCGACATTCCATGGATCACTCTCGAACCTGGCAGGGACTTCGACGGGGAACCGCAACAATCAAAAATTTGAGACAAAAAACTACCCGTCAAAATTACCGTAATGAGGAATAAAAACCAGGGAGGGCGAGTGAAACCTATAAACAGCAGCACCTCGCTCCCCAACATCCCGCATTGTTCAAAAAACACCCTACTGGGACACTCCTAAAGACCCCCGATGAGAATACCTATAGCCCTTGGTCATTGACACGCCGGTACAAATCCACTCCTATCAGATACCCATTACCTATCCACGGCAACGAAGGCGACGGCAACAACAACAACAACAACAACAATAACAAGAACCAATCACCACCACCACCACTCAAACAAAAAAACAACCCCCCCAGCCCCCCCCCCCTCTTCCCAAAAATGGCCACCCCCCTCTTCGGCCTCCTCCCAGCAGGCTACCCGGTCATCACCACGCCCACGCAAACGCCCTCCCCCACGAGCTTCCTGTACGCCTTCCCGCCCACGCGGCCCTTCTCGCACATCGCCGTCTTCTTCCTCCCCGACGTCCCGCGAGACGACCGCACCGCCGCCGCCATCTACCTCATCACCCCGCCCTCCCCCGGCCAGGCCGAGCCCAACCACAAGTTCCTGGGCGGGATTGGCCAGGGGAAGGATAGCGCTATTTTTAAGCTGGGGCCGGCCGGGGCGGCGGCGGGTGGTGGGGGTGCTGGTGGGAATGGGGCGGGCGGGAACGTGGTGATTGGGGTGTCGTTGGAGCCGGCGGACGCGGTGGCGGCGAAGATCATGGAGCTTTTCGTTCGAGTCGGGTGCTGGTTTCTTCTTCTGCGCTGGTGCGGCATCAGCAGCAGCCGAGTACGTTGGTGCTGGCGCAGAGGATTATTAAGAATGCGTTCAACTTCCTGGCGGGGTTCAGTGGCACGGCCGGCCAGGTGGAGGTGGTGCCGTTGAAGGCGTTTGAGGAGTGGTGGCGGAAGTTTGAGGGGCGGGTGAGGAGTGATCCGGGGTTTTTAGAGAGGGATGAGATGTGAAAGAGGATATGGGTTGAAAGGCCGAGGGGGAGGAAAGGGGTTGGGGAGGGGAACTTAGGATGCTCTTTTTAGCTGGTTTCATTTGCTGATAGAGAGAAGGGAGCACTGGAGGGCGAAGGAGAAAGCCAAAAGCGTTGCGTTGTCATGGAGTGATAATCTCTAGACATGTATCATAGTAACCGTAACCTCGTCAGACGCGGATACAAAATCTTTCGTCGCAGGTCGACCGGCAACAAACCCCATATGACGCCAAGTTGAGTCCGGAAATGACAGCCGGTCTACGCCGTCCCAGAAGAAAGAAAACCATACTCCTACTCCCGCCAGCCATGCCTGCTGTACCCTGCACAGAAGAAGACAACAATACTAAAAGTTTTAGCCCACCATGCCAAACAATCAACACCAACAGAAGAAGCAGAACAATACTAAAACAATAGCCTCTCAAACAATAGCGGCAACGGTATCTTTTCCCACACACTCCAGCCGTGCATCTCGACAATCCTACGTCTCCTGCAGCGGTGAAATCAAAGGGCTCTTCATCCTAGTTGGGCTCCCCGCTCTACTCCGCCTGCCGACTCCAGACAACGCCAAATGCGGCGGCAGCGTCAACCGCTCGCGGCTCTCGGTCCGCACGACTAGCCCGCTGCGATCCAGCGCCGACACGGTCGGCGATGCCAGACCGTGGTGATAATGGTGGTGATGGTGATGGTCGACAACCTGCGGGGTAGCCAACCCGGACGACAGGCCAAACCGCCTCGACGAGGCCGCCGATTTGGAGCTCGACAGCGCATCGCTCGAGTCCGAGTACTCGTTGGTGTCATCCGATTCGACGTCGCCCAGCTCAAACTGGCTGGCATCGCCCTCCTCCATGACGCGCTCGTACGTCACACCACCAGATGGCCGCCGCGAACCCCCAAAGATTTTGGTCGCAAGTCCAGATAAACCCCGCGCCCCGGCACTGCCCTTGCGCCCATTAGCCCCGGGCCTGCGGGGCCGGCGTAGGATCGAGTTCACGCGGCTGTAGAAGCGCATCCGCCAGTCACGCTTGCGGAAGAAATATAGGAGGAGGAGGAGGAGCGCGACGAAGGCGAAGAAGCCGGTTATGGATTTGGATTTGGCCTTGTCGAGGATGTCTTCGGTGTCAAGGTCCCAGTCGTCGTCGTCGTTTGTCTGGTTGCCCATGGATTTCCAGCTGGACCCGGCAAACTGGAAGTCCTGAGGGGTTCCCACGACGTTACTGCCAAATCCCACGGGATACCTGTCGTCGCCGGTGGCTGGCGGTACTTGCCCGGCTGCGTAGAGGACCATCTTCCCCAGCGTCCAGCTTACTTCAATACCGTTGATTTTGTCAACTGGCTGGAATGGGTCGATGAATCCCTTCTCCTTGGCGTGCTCGAGAGCCCCCTTGGAAACATTTGCCGTCTGAAGTTTTTCGAGGCCGACCCGGGGAACGCCGATGCCTTCGTGGAGGACGTTGATCAGCCAGGATGCTTTGAAGCACGCCTCCTGGGCGACCTTGGCCTCGTCCTTTTTCCGTCCGCTTATCTTGGCCGTGATCTGATTCCAATCCTGGCTGCAGAAATCCCTCACCCTTTCTTGATAGGTCGCAAAGTCATACGCCTTATCGTCCTTGCCGCCAAACACGCCGTGCGTCGTATGCCAATATTCCGACACGCCAACAAAATGGTTCACATCAAAGTCGATGGCCGGAACATGCTGGCCGTTCAGCAGACAGGGGTTGTCCTCGCATGGCTTGTCCTTGCCAAGGAGTGGGTGGGTTAATTGCAGGCACTCGTCGAAGTGCCCGGTACCGATGAGGGTGGCCGTTCTTGGTTTCCGCTTGCTAATCACTTCTCCGTGCAGAGTTGTCCGCAACCCCTTTGGTAGGCATGGATCGGGCAGTTCGGCTTCGGTCTCCGCGTACCGGTCCTCGAGGCTCTTGATGTAGGACTCTCGTGCTTGGTTGACGCCAAACCCCAACCAGGTCGTGGTGAAGACCTTGTATTCAGCCGGATGCCCATCGAGAGTACGTAACCGGAGGAGCTTGAGATCGTCCGCGTGCTTCTCGGCCTCGGTTGCATTTGGTGCAAAAGCGATTTGTGCCGAGGCGCCGCCCATATCCAAAAACCCATATGTATGGTGCCCTTTGCCGTGTTGGTGCTTGTCAGGGTAGTCAAACCCGCCCAAGAGGTAATTCGACGCAATCCACCCGTACAGCCCTTCCGTTTCGCCCTTGATGACTTGAATGTGGAGGTCGCAGTCGGGTAGTGAGAACTGTGTATTTTGTCGCAGATAGGAGCAGATCTCGCGCGTCAAGGCTGACTGTTGGCTTTGCGGGAGCAGTCGCATCCCGGCGGTGGCCATGAGGAAAATGGGGGTATCTTGGATTTTGTCCGCGGGTATCACATCCAACGCGTGGTCAACGAGAAGTTGTAGGTGTTCTGGCCCAACTTCCTCCACCTTATCACCAAAAGTCGAGACGCCGGGCCTGATTTTCTTGGTCCATTTCTTCTCTGTCACAAGCTTTGGTAGATTGCGCAGCTCCTCCTGCGACGCGCTCTTGAGCGCCTTCTTGGGGTCTTTCCATTGGTAGATGTGCAGCCGAGTCCCAGACGAGCCGGCGTCTAGGATGACGCCCCATCGCGACTTCTTACCCATGGGAGAATGAAGCGAGGGTGCGCGTCGGGAACTCGAGTCCAGGTGGGAAAACGTCGGCGATATGGATCACACTCGTTTTTCGTGCCGGGAATCGTTTGATTATAGAAGTCTCGCGGTGCGCGCAAACATCGGGTCGATGGGAGATTCGACGAGGGTATTGAGCGCCAAGGGGTCGAGACCCGAACGAGCGGATACAGGGGAACGAACGTAAAACAAAGTTTCAACCTAATTTGAAAGCGGTAACTTCAACGAGACAAGGCGCACAATGTCGAGGTAACGAGAGTGGTTTCGAGGAATTGTCGCTAAACGAAGGTATACAGCCGAAGCGGCTGAGTCGAATTGAATTGGTGGGAAAGTGTTGTTGGAAGGTTGCCCCGTCGCACTCACTCTCTTTGGAGACCGGACACAGGAATCACGTCCGATAACGTCAGGGGGGCGGCGAATCATGGCAGTGGTGGCCCGCCGTTAGCGTGTTTTTCCATGAGGTGCTGTGGATCAAAATGGATCGCCTGCGGAAGGACGTTGGCCAAGCGAAACAAGTGGGGGTTGCAACGAGACAACTGCAGAGATAATTAAATCCAAACTGCCATCTTGCTGTTTGCGGACTAGATCTGCTCGCGGCACAAACCGTTTGCGATGCACCGACACACACACACACACACCATGGCTAACATTCGATTCAGCGGCGTATTTCGGGAGTGGAAGTTATTTCGTTCTCCATTGTCAGCAACGAAGGCTGGAAGGACGGCTGAGCAGTTCTGACGCAAATAACCGCCGACACGTAAGCACCCCGCCTTCAGCCCCGTCCCCCACGTTTCGCAAGGCCTGGCCCTCCAAAACGGCCCGGGAAATCTTCTGGGATGTTGCCAAGGCACCCAGTTCCTGCAGTATGCAAAAACAAGTTGGTCAATGCAACATGCTCGTATTCCGACTGAGACGTCGCTATCAAAGACGAAGTGGAATGTTGGCAGTCCCCCAATGCAGCTAGCTGGCGGCAGTTAGTTATCATCCGAACATAACTAGTGTGCAGAATGTCGTGAGTGCTTTGATGCGGTGGCCAGTCCTCCACAGCCGAGTATGACGTTCGGGCAATCGGACAAGGGCCCTCTTCTGAGCCACGCTTCTTCTCATTTGGGATGGTCGCTGAGAGAGCGACCTGCAGGCCGGAAGCACCACCCGACTTTTGCCCGGGAAGCATGTGGCATTGTAGTGGACGAGAACAAACTTCGTTTATTCTATCGTCTCGGTTAGGCAGCCGACTAGGACGCGATTGGCGTTCTTCGAAGCCTGGATACCTTTCTCAACAAGGCTTGTGTAAAGGTCTATGTCGGAGGCGGGCAGGTCACCCCTGAACCAGAGGTTCGTTACCTCATCCCGGGTTGGCAGGTAGGCGATGCAGCAAGCTGCCAGGATTTTCTCGTGCTCGGAGGGTATGGGGTCGACCACGACGGTTGGAATAGAGTCCTCGCCGGCGTCTTGAACGAGAGCAGCAACCCCCCCTGCGACAGTGTCAACACAGTCGATGCCTGCATCGGCGAGGGCGGCTGCTGCCACGGTAATACATCCGCCTAGGACATTCATCATATCCCAGACCTCGTCGCCTTGAAGCTGGGACGTCTCACGGTCTTGGTCGCCTTCCACGATGGAGATGATGATGTCAACACCGCTCTTAGGCCACCGATCGGCAATGATAGCACCGCGCAGAGCGGCCTCAAGGTGAATACCAAGGTCCCGCTCACTGGGATCACGAAGATATCCGCGCCTCTGTTTCGTCGCAAACGGAGCGTATTTGACGTGGGTGGACAAGACGATATGTGGGGAGAAGGGGGCGGATCTTGGAAGCGATCTTGGCCCGTGAACCGAGCAGCTGAGTTTCAAGCCAGAGACGCCAGGCGTTGCAGAAGTCTCAATCTCCAAGTAAGCAGACCCAGACGCCGAAGGTGTAACGCCGGTCTTAAGGTCTGTACAGAGTTAGCGTAGGTCAACGAAAAGGGGAAAAGAAGAATACCTACACATTTTCCGGGTCGTATTTGGAGGGCGTGACCTCGTCTTTGGAGACTTGAGTTTTTGGGTGCTAACATCATCGAATACTGGGGGTATTGTGGCACCAGCAGGGCCGTTGATGCGTCTCCTATCCGCCATGGTCGACACCAGAAATTAAGTTCTTGGTTTGATGGATTTTGGTGAAGATTTTGAGCGTTTCTCCCAAGGGGCTTGGCAGCTCGAGGAGAAAACAAAAGGTTGGGGTGGATATTTAATCTCGCGATGAATAAAACTGGTGAAAAGAAGAATGGAGCTTGCGTGTTTAGCTCTTTTGTTGTCTTGGTCGATAGGCAGTCCCAGTTGAGAATCTTTTAGTTGCTCACAGAATGCGAGCCTCAATTCAAATGGGATGAGCCACAGCTTCAGTAGTGTAAGCCACACGGACGCCCGGGCCACCTACTGCCCCACCAATCCACCAACGTTTTAACTGAAAATTTATCGAGCTCCGAGCTTCGTTTCCTTTCCAAAAACCACCGTGGGCCACATCGCGACTGGCAATGCGCGCGTGCACCCGTCCCACGCGCAGGGAGTGATTACTGCGTCTGCTGCCGAGCACAAGTTGTTTGAGGGACAGGCGACCTCTTGGAGCTTTGCCCGGCGGTAGTCGCATAACCACTGACGGGAGAAGTTGATCACTTTCTGGTTCCTCCTGTCTTGATGTCTCGCACTTTTTTTTTTTTTTACTTTTTCACCGACCGCCGCCCGACTTGATATGGCTTTCATAGCATGATCAGTAAGTCCAACCAGCCAGCTTTCGTTTGCTCCCCAACACCCTTCATGATGATCTCCTATCCACTGTTCACGCGATTTCTCTGAGCGAACGAACTACATGCACTACCATCTGACTCGATTCAATTGATGCATACATCATACCGTCTTTTTCGTGTCAACAGTTGACTGACAGTATGACAGTGCATCTCGAACATTCGACATTGTTGTTATCTTGACCATAACGGATTTAGTGACGAGGTAAGGCAACTTCTTTTTTTTCCGCATCTGCCACCCACTTCCATGATGAGAATCTTTCAATTCAGTTCTGCTTCTGAACAAGAATGAAGATACCCCATACCAAAATAATCTCTGATATCACCCTGAATCCCATCGTCAAGAGTCACGCAATCCGTCCTTGAACGCTAGCTGACTCTGCTCAAGTTACTCATAATAGCTTCGCCCAGCAACCTTATTACCGCTCGAGTCCCATATCAAGCGACGGTATGCATAGTGGTGCTCTGCTTCTTTTTCATTTCCACCCTGATGACCATAGCTTATCCATTCAACGATATGTACGGGCCGAGCCTTCCATCCGCACTCTAGCATTCTTTGGGTTCTTCTCAAGGGTGTGATGATGGGTTGTGGTGTCGTTCCTCCGGGGACATAATTAAGCTTCCGTTGTTCGGGTTTGGTGTGCACCGTTATGGTGCATGTCGGGTCGAGCCGGCTACGTAGGGCTGAGTTAAACCGGCTTGTCTGATACTGGATTCTTCACCCATTTTTTTCATGCTGTTCCCGGTACAGGATGATCGCTGACGCGTTACCAGATTCCAGGTTTCCCCATTGACTGTCCCATACCATGCTCTCGGACGATCAGGGGTTGTTACGAGGGTTCAACACGAACAGGTAAGAGATACGCCAAGCGTGCCACTGCCCCTGTAGTCCCACTCAAACGCATTTGCGGCAATGCAGCTCTCGGGAGACATTGAGAAAGAAAGATAAAAATAAAATGTTAAACTCATCATCCTGTCTTAATTTGTGCAGTGTGTCAATTAGATAGATTGGAAAACATGTATGAGCAGACGATTTTGAGGACAATAGCTCTAGGAGAGTATACCAAATTGAGTAAAAACAATCTGCGTTCGTAGCTTGATATGCCGGATGATTTTCATTTCGTTCCTGGAGTCGAGGAGTCGAGGTATCCACATTTGAAGTCGGTTTCCCCCCCCACCCATGGGGAACTGCCAGCTGCAAGTTGGTGGCACGCAATTCAGTTGACACCAAGCGACGTTAGTGTGCCCCCCAGGACCAGGAGTTGGCCAGCGCCAAGCTTTCCGGAGTGTTTTCCAGAAACGATACGCCACGGCCAGGGAGGTGAGAGCTGTGACGAACGAACACATTTTCCTTTTTAACTTTTGTACAACGCGGCTGCGATTCCACCCTCCCCGACGACATCAGCCATGCGCTGACGCCCGACGACTCTATATCCACCGATTCCACTAAAATTCCATCGAAATTTCTTGCGGGAGGACAGCAGCAAGGCAAGTGCGTACACGACCGTGGGCGCATGTACGAAGGGGCAAGCTTCCTGTTGGGTGCTACACCTCTTAGACCCTCCGTGCACGATCAATGCTGCCGTTCGCAACGTCGGGGTCCAAGGTGACCCCTAGAAATCATGTCGGCGGCTATTCGAATGGGTACCCGCGGGGGAAGACCTTCGACATCTCTCCTCACAGGTGTGTGTTCTGCCCCCTTTCATCCCCTCCTCCCCACCTGTACATCTCGTATCCTCCCATCTCAGCCAGCAAGCTCGACTGGACAAAATGCTAACAGGTAGCCTTTACCCAACATACAGATACCAGCCACGCGGCACAAACCCAGCCAGCCGCCGACGAACCCAATCCCTCGTGCGCATCGGCGTCGTAGCAGCGGTGCTCTTCTTCCTGGTCCTCTACGTCTTCACGCGCGGTTCCGGCTCGTCGTCGTTCCTCTCCATCTTCTCGCTCGGCCTCCTCTCGTCCAGCGGCGCCGACTTCCAGCTCGAGACGGTGCGCTACCACGATCTGTCTAACGTGCAGGGCACGGCGCGCGGCTGGGAGCGCGAAGAGCGCATCCTGGTGTGCGTGCCCCTCCGCGACGCCGAAGCCCACCTGTCCATGTTCTTCTCGCACCTGAAGAACCTCACCTACCCCCACCACCTGCTCGACCTGGCGTTTCTGGTGTCGGATTCTAAGGATAATACGATGGGCGTGCTGGTCAAGAGCTTGGAGGAGATACAGGCGGCTGAAGAGGAGGCGATGCACTTTGGGGAGATCTCGATTATTGAGAAGGATTTTGGGCAGGTGGTGAACCAGGATGTTGAGAGTCGCCACGGCTTTGCGGCGCAGGCGGGGAGGAGAAAGCTTATGGCCAGGGCGAGAAACTGGCTGTTGTCGGCGGCGCTGCGGCCATATCACTCGTGGGTGTACTGGCGTGATGTGGACGTCGAGACGGCGCCGTTTACGATTCTGGAGGACCTCATGCGGCATAACAAGGATGTTATCGTCCCGAGTGAGTACCTACCTATCTGGGAGGTGAGGTTGTCGTTATGTTGCCCGAATGCTGACGATTTTTTGCAGATGTGTGGCGTCCGTTGCCGGAATGGCTTGGTGGGGAGCAGCCGTACGATTTGAACTCGTGGCAGGAATCCGACACCGCCCTGACGCTGGCCGATACGCTTGATGAGGATGCGGTTATTGTGGAGGGCTATGCCGAGTATGCGACTTATCGACCCCATTTGGCGTATCTCCGAGACCCCTACGGCGATCCGGATGTGGAGATGGAGCTTGATGGCGTTGGCGGTGTGAGTATCTTGGCCAAGGCCAAGGTATTCCGCTACGGCGTTCATTTCCCGGCATTTAGCTTCGAGAAGCATGCCGAAACCGAAGGGTTTGGCAAGGTAGGCCTTGACTCAAGGTCTGGTGGTTGGATATTGGCTAACCCAATGATAGATGGCGCGAAAGATGGACCTCTCCGTCATCGGGCTGCCTCACTACACCATCTGGCACGCGTATGAGCCCAGCGTGGATGACATAAAGCACATGGAGGTAGGTGTTTATGGAATTTGGATGTGTCAGCGACCGGTGCTAACGTACTCATAGCAAATGAAGCGGGAGCAACTAGCCCAAGAGGCGGCGGAGAAGGAGAAAGCAGAGAAGGCCATGAAGCTTAAAGAGTCATTCGGTGATGCCACCGGGCAGTGGGAAAAGGACAAGGTGGCCATGCAAAACATTGTTGTCCAGGACAAAAAGAAGGACACTGCAGCCGCCGCGACCAATGATGAGGCTGATGCTGAGCTACCAGGGGGGAAGGTGGTCGAGAAGGTCGCTGCGTGACAAGAACCGCAGGCGGACGGCAAGGCATGAATGGTCATAGTCATGGCAATTGCCTTGTCACGATTTCCTATCTCTTATTTTTCTCTCCACAGTATTACAGGAGGCAAGCATCCGCGGGAGGGGAACGGGGAGGGAGGCTGCAGGCGCAGTCTTTAAGCCACGCCGTTGCGCATTCATTGCATGTCGGACCGGAGGGGAGAGACAAAAGGAAGAAACATTAATATTGTCGTGTACGACTAGATCTCATGGCTGGGGCGTTTTTGGGGTTGGCTAGGGCAATGACTGGATCATGGATTACAGGCAGGTCAAGGAGAGGAGATGGCTGTTTTGACACCTAGATACCTTGAGAAGTCTCTATTTTGTGCCTTTAAGCATCGCTTGTTGGGCTTTGCTTGTATCTTTTAGCGGACTCGTTTGTCTTCTTCCTCTGTTTTACGGACCCGCGTTTAGCCGATTTAACGGGGCCTGATTGGCTCGCGCCCCAGCAAAGTGTCCAGAGGATCGCGACATGGGTACGAGTAACTATGGAGCTCCATTCAAGGATGGCATTTACAATTAACGACTTCGAGGCCCAACACGCGATTACTTACGGAGAGTGGAGTTCTTTAGGTTGGACAGTTCACAGAGTTGCAGACGCAGAGCTGTTGTCAAGAAGATACCGTTGACTCAACGGTTGTTTGGCTTTTACTTTTGTTTCCAGGTCTGCGGGCCACTTTCTAGGGTTCAATCCATCCTCGACCCGTGGCACCACCACAAGGCCAATTTGTCACTAGCTACCTCCGATACACCCTTGCCGTCCTCAGCCACAACCTCGATTACCGCCGTCTAGCACCGCAAACCGGGAGTGCTGCCCCTTGGGACACCGCCGGTACTAAGAACGCCGTTGCGTCTCCAGAATGAGCCGAGATGCCCAGCTCAGCGCGCCCATAATGGACCCGGCCATGGCAGCAACGCTTGGGACGTCTACCCCTCGGCGGAACCCACTGCTCTCCACGCGCATGCAGTATCGCAGCCGCCCGGTCTCGATAGCCGTCGACCCCGTTTCGCTCGTTATATCCGAATGCATATCCATCACTTCGGCCATCCAGAAATATGCTCGCTCTCCGCACTCATCCGTCTCGGCCATCCTCGGCGGCAGCCCCAACCTCATCCAGCTCGTGCCGCCCACCGCCGGCGCACGCCGTACCCGCAAGACGGCTCATGATGCCGCGGCGGATGGGGTTGGCGATCTTGCGGCGACGAACAGATGGGGGTTGCGCGGGAAGAAGGGCAAGAGCATGCAGGACAACCCCTTGATCTCGGGGTTTGGGAGGCTGCGGCAGGAGTTGGCGGGGGTTAAAGGTATGCATTTGCCGTGGATGGGGATGTATGGGGATGCATGGGGAGATAGATATGCTAACTTGAAACTGCCAGACCTTCACAGGTTCGACTCCCTCGTGCTCCTCTACCCATTCCTCCAGATTATTCAGGCCAAGGGCACGGCTGCCCCCGTTACGGTCCTCGCGCTGCGAGCGATACAAAAGTTTCTTGCCTATGGCTTCGTTGCGCCCGTCTCCCCCCGCTTTGCGCTTGCCATGCAGTCCCTCTCGGCGGCTATCACCCATTGCCAATTCGACATTAGCGACTCAGCGCAGGAGGAGGTGGTGCTGCTTATGATTCTGCACTTGATGGAGGACATGCTATCGGGGCCGGGCGGGGATATTCTCAGCGACGAGAGCGTGTGCGATATGATGGGGCGTGGCTTGACCATTTGCTCACGGCCGAGATTCTCGGAGGTACTGCGCCGGACCGCTGAGGCTTCGATGGTGCGCATGGTTCAGATCATCTTCGAGGACTTGAAACATCTGGAAGAGGAGGCTGGTGATGAGAGCGAAGCCTTGGACCGACAGACGAGTGGGGATATGGACACTGTCAGCATGGACCCAGCCACTAACGGGACCGATGTTCCGGCAACAGCCCCAGAAACGACGGAGGCTATGGGGACAGCATCGCCTGTGGAAGCAGTGGGGCCAATCTCTGGTGAGACTCGTGAGGCGGTTGAAGTTGGTAAAGTTGGCGAGGCGAACGAGTCATCTGCCGAGCCGAGGCCGTCGTCAAGCTCGGAAAAGAGGAGCACCGCTTCGGAAACATCCAGGGGACCCAGTGCGGAGGCTGGTCGGCCAAGCACGAGCTCGGCCGCTGAGAGCGCTTCATCTGTCGACCTCCGTCCCTATTCTCTACCATCGATTCGGGAACTCTTCCGCGTCCTAGTGACATTTCTGGACCCCCACGACCGAAAGCACCCCGACCAGATGAGGGTCATGGCCCTGCGGATCATCCATGTGGCACTCGAAGTGGCAGGGCCGTCGATTGCCCGGCACCCTGCCCTAGCATCGATCGCCGAAGATCAGCTGTGCTGCTATCTCTTCCAGCTCGTGCGGTCCGATAACATGGCCGTTCTGCAGGAGGCATTGATCGTGGCTGGCACGCTGCTTTCTACCTGTAGAGGGGTGCTCAAGCTACAACAAGAGTTGTACTTGTCGTATCTTGTTGCCTGTCTGCATCCGGCGGTGGAGATCCCTCGAGAACCGGGAATCGACCCAAGCCTCTACTCAGGCATCCCACAGTCGCCCAAGTTGGTCAAACCACCGCCATCACAAGCCGGCAGCGGTCGCTCTACCCCTGTGGCCGTCAAAGACCGACAGAAACTGGGCCTCGAGGGCGGCGCTCGGAAACCAGACGCGAGGCAAGCCATGGTGGAGAATATCGGCGTGCTTGCGCGAATGCCAACCTTTATGGCTGAGCTGTTTGTCAACTACGACTGCGACGAAAACCGCGCAGATCTCTGCGAGGACCTGATTGGGCTATTGTCTCGGAGTGCCCTACCTGACTCTGCCACCTGGAGCACAACAAGCGTACCCCCGCTGTGCCTGGACGCGCTGCTACGCTTCATTCAGTTCATCGCCGAAAGGCTAGACCAAACTCCCGAGGTGGACGGATATCCCGACCCGGCAAGGTTAAGAGAGAGACGGCGCAGGAAGAAGCTCATCATCAAGGGGACGGGCAAGTTTAACGAAAGCCCCAAGGGCGGGCTGGCTTATTTGCAGGAAAAGGGCGTGATCGAGGACGCCTCCGACCCGCTGTGTGTTGCAACATTCTTGCAGAGCACTTCCAGGGTGAATAAGAAAATGCTTGGCGAGTTCTTGTCGAAAAAGGGGAACGAAGCGGCCCTGGACGCGTTTATGAACCAGTTCGACTTTACAGGCAAGCGGGTAGACGAAGCGCTCCGCCTTATGCTAGAAACGTTCCGGCTCCCTGGCGAGTCGGCGTTGATCGAGCGCATCGTCAACTCCTTCACAGAGAAGTATTGCACTAGCTCAGTCCCGAAGGGAGTGGCGAACAAAGACGCCGTCTTCATTCTCACATACGCCATTATCCTTCTCAACACAGATCAGCATACTCCTACGCTGAAGAACAGGTCGCGCATGACGTTCGAGGACTTCTCGCGCAACCTTCGCGGGCAGAACGATGGCGAAGATTTCGCCCCTGAATACTTGCAGGAGATCTTCGACACCATTAGGACCAACGAGATCATCCTCCCCGATGAGCACGACAACAAGCACGCATTCGATTACGCTTGGAAGGAGCTTCTTCTAAAGACGGAAGAGGCGGGCCCGCTGGTACTCTGCGACACCAACATCTACGACGCCGACATGTTCGCGACGACATGGAACCCCATCGTCTCATGCCTCTTCTTCGTCTTCATGTCGGCCACCGACGACACCGTCTACGCGCGCGTCATCACCGGGTTCGACGAGTGCGCGCGCATAGCAACAAAGTACGGCAACTCGGAGGCGCTCGACGAGATCATCTACCGGTTGAGCTACATCTCAACGCTAGGCAGCGAGGCACTCGCCAACACGTCGCTCAACACCGAGGTGCAGGTGGGGGAGAACAGCGTCATGGTCAGCGAGCTGGCTGTCCGGTTTGGGAGGGACGTCCGGCCGCAGCTGGCGACGCTGGTCTTGTTCCGTGTTGTCACCGGCTCGGAGCATGTCATTCGGAAGAGCTGGAAGCACGTAAGTGGCTGGTTTTTGCGAGTAATGTCGTTGCCATGCTAATGTGGACCAGATTATCCGTATATGGCTCAACTTGTTCGTTAACTCGTTGATACCCTCATTTTTCTCGACCGAGGCCGATAAGCTTGCTCTGCCAGCAATCCCGTTACAACCGCCCTCGCAGGTGATTGACAGGGGTGCGAAACAGAGCGAGGCCGGCTTCTTCTCGGCCTTCACCTCGTATATCTCGAGCTATGCTGCTGATGACCCTCCTGAGCCGTCGGATGAGGAGCTCGAGAGCACGTTGTGTACTGTGGACTGCGTGAACCAGTGCCACATGGGCGATGTGTTTGCCAATGTTGCGTAAGTTTCAACTCGGTGCACTGGTTATATTTGGAAACAGATCTAACACAGTACAGACACCTTCCTAGCCATAGTCTCGAGGCTCTGGTGGACACCCTACTCGACCAAATTCCCGAAGACAACGGGTCAACCGTGATCACAGTCAAGGCAGAAAACATTCCTCCGTCTCAGGTCAACGGGCAGAAGCCGAGGCAAAGCACCGCGCTGTACGACCCTGCGTTGGTGTACATTCTCGAATTTTGCACAGTCCTAGCGCTGCGTGACGACAGCACCGTCGAACTGCTCGGGAAGCGCGTTGTGGAAGCTATCCAGGCTATCCTCCGGGATGTACCGCGGTATCATCCGATTCTGATCGAGCGGGCTACCTTTTTCCTCTTCAACCTCCTCCAAGCGAGTTATGTGAGTCAACCGTTGAGCCTTATGGCAGGATGACCGGCTGACCAAGACCAGGATTATGACTACGTCCGGGTTCCGATCCTTCTCCACACCGTCTCAAGCTTCCCCAGCGACACATTAACCAAGGCGTCCGGCCTCGTGCTGCGCGGCCTCAGGATCTGCACCGAGAAGCCCTGCCCGCTGCGAAACGAGATCATGACGTCGCCCGATTTCTGGGTGATCCTGCAGACTCTAGCCACGGATAGCGACGCGGCGCCCGCCGTATTTGAAATACTCCATAACGGCGTCTCGGAAACGCCGTCGGCCATCATGGCGGATAACTACGAGGCTGCGCTCGCGCTGCTGAACGAGTTTGCCTCGATGGCCAGTGTTGGGGCCGTAGCAGAACAGGAGAACGATCGGAAGCAGGGGCGAAAAGGCGGACGGCCTGTCAAGCATGACAAGCCGAGGTAGGTTTTTGATCTAGGACATGTGCAGAAGAAGAGTTGGTTGCTAACACGAAGCAGTGAGAATTCCGTGGTCGAGCGTGGTGTCAAGGCCCTCAACAGCATCTACCGCATGACGGAACGCATCCCTCATCTCATGAAGCAGTCGCACCTAGAAAGCAGCGAAGGTGCGCACCCCCCTCCCTCGACACGCACGCAGCCGCAGGCTTACTAACACCACCGCAGCTTGGTCCGCCTACTGGCTCCCAGTCTTCCAGGCACTCACGACGCAGTGCACCAACCCGTGCCGCGAGATCCGACACCTGGCCTTCAGCTCGCTGCAGCGGTCACTGCTCTCGCCGGACCTGACGTCGTCGCAGGAGGAGCACTCGGAGTGGACGGCCATCTTCGGCGAGGTGCTCTTCCCGCTGATCCTGCGCCTGCTCAAGCCCGAGGTCTTCTCGTCGGATCGCGACGGCATGAGCGAGACGCGGGTCCAGGCCGCCTCGCTGCTGTCCAAGGTGTTTTTGCAGTACCTGGTCGTGCTGTCCGAGTGGGACGGCATGCTGGACCTCTGGGTCAAGATCATCGAGATTATGGATCGTTTGATGAACAGTGGGCAGGGGGATAGCTTGGTATGTTTACTTCCTTGGATGTAAAGGGGTTGTGGGTTGTGTGGCTAACGTGTGCTGCGTGTTTTTAGGAGGAGGCTGTACCCGAGAATCTCAAGAACGTGCTTCTCATCATGTCGAGCAACGGATACCTCGTACCGCCGAGTAAGGACTCGTCGAAAGAGGAGCTGTGGAACGAGACATGGAAGCGGATTGATCGGTTCTTGCCGAACCTGAAGGCGGATCTCGCCTTGGAGGAGGAAGAGCCTGTGGTGGAGGCGCCGCTCCCTTCTGCTGGCCTGCCACCACCGGTAACAGTGGCAGCGGAGACCGAAACCGCGGCGACAGAAGAGGTTGCTTGAGGGTGGGAGAGGGGGTAGGGGGTTTTGGTTTAGAGGACGAAGACAAATACCAGGTGATCGGCTCGAGCGCGCATCTGTTGGTGTTGGTTGAGGCGGCTAGTTGCGTCGTCAAGCATAATATAGTAGAATCTAGAAGGCGCCAGAAAACATTTTGTCTGTGATATTGTCTCTGGATGTGCAGATTCCTTCTCCGGTAGTTGGGTGTTAAACCTTCCACAAGGGAACGTACAGTGTGCATGTACAGTGTTGGTCTCATTATATATACTGTATTACAGCTTTCTGTACCGATCCATCAATGATCAGATTTCTTGAACAACCATCTCAATTTCAACACTCTTTTTCGTCCTAACTCGCTCAATTCGTCGTATAGTCTTCGAGCATTGCTGTCACAGTCTATACGCCCCTCATATTTCTCAGGGTTAGACTCGGCAGGAAGCCGTGTTTGCTGCGCACGTCGAGTCATCCGGCAACGAGTCACACAAAGAGACCAGAAAATGAGGGTATAAGACGGCGACCCTCAGTACGCAGATGCTCACACGACTTACCAGACCGAGGATATTTGTCACGTCAAATATCTCTCCTCACATGAAACGCAAGCTCGATCACTTGCATCTGGCAGCCCAAGCCTCTGGGAGAACTACCCCACCAAGTGCCCCCTTCTCGAGCACCACCAAGAGGAATATCATTACAGCTCAACCCACAAGCACAAATACAACCACATCCACAGTCACAACCACAAACCCTAGAACTATGGCCACCTCAACCAACCCCCGCCCCACCATCACGCTCACCAAACGCGAAGAGCAGCTCAAAACGCTCCTCCTCGCCGCCGCGCAAACCATGACCACCACCACCACCCCATCCTCCGACCGTGCGGAGCCCCTCGTGCTGCGCTGGGCCGGCGGCTGGGTGCGGGACAAGCTGCTGGGCATCCCGTCGCACGACATCGACACGGCGCTCAGCGCCATGACGGGCGAGGAGTTCGTGGACCGGCTGCGCGACTACTGCGACGAGCCGGCGCACCGCGAGCGCCACGCGCTGCTGCCCGACGACGTCGGCCGCCTGCACACGGTGCCGCGCAACCCGGACAAGTCCAAGCATCTGGCCACAAGCACAATTAAACTGTGCGGGCTGGATGTGGATTTTGTGAATCTGCGGAGGGAGACGTATACCGAGTCGAGTCGGAATCCGGTGGTCGAGTTTGGGACGGCCGAGGAGGACGCGCTGAGGAGGGATGCGAGTGTGAATGCGCTGTTTTATAATTTGGGGACCGGCATGGTGGAGGACTTTGTGGGTGGGTTGGCGGATTTGGAGGCCGGGTTGATTCGCACGCCGCTGGAGCCGTTGCAGACGTTTTTGGATGATCCGCTAAGGGTGTTGAGGCTGGTGAGGTTTGCGAGTCGGTTGGGGTTCAAAATTGACCCGGCTGCGGAGCAGGTCATGGGCGATGAGAGGGTGTTGGGGAACTTGAAGGTTAAGATCTCGAGGGAGCGGATCGGCGTCGAGCTGGAGAAGATGATGAAGGGTGGGTTTTTTTTTGCTCTTCGCGACACCACAAACAGCCTTCTTTTTTTCAAGCGTGGGAGGTACTGGGATAATGATGCTGACTTCTTTTTGTAGGCAAGAAGCCCGTCGAGTCGCTTCGGCTGATCGACAGGCTTGGTCTCTACCACGCTGTGTTCACGGACCCTGAGCGGGCGGGTATGCCGAAGCCGGATACGACGACTTGGAAAACCGCCTACGAGTGCTTGGAGCAGCTCGAGGCAAACAAGACGCCCGGCTCTATCTACGACCTGCTCGTCACGAGCGAGGAAGCGCGGTACTATGCCTGGTCACTGGCGACCCTCACCCCCTGGGAGCCGCTGCCGGACGACCCGCCCCTGAAGTCGGGGAAGCCTGCGCTACCGCTCCCGACGCAAGCCGCCAGGGAGGGCTTCAAGGCGCCCAACAAGCTGTCCGACGTCGTCACGGCCGCACACCGCCACCGCCGGGCCATCTTGGCGCTCAGGGATATAGTTCGGGAAAAACGGGAAGGTCTAGACCAGCGGGACCGGTTCGGCATGGCTATCAGAGACTGGGATGCCCGCGGTGGTAATTGGCGGCTACAGGTCCTCTACGCCATCTTGGCTGATGTGGCTGAACGTGTTACAGTCGTAGATGAAGGGGGGAGCTATGCTTGGGATGATGTGCTGGCTGAATGGCAGCGGTTCCTCGACCACCTTGTGGAACTGGACGTAATGAATGCTCCTACCATCAAGCGTCTCGTGGACGGAAAGATGTTAGCCAAGGCGTTAGGAGTCAATCCTGGGAAGTGGACGGGTCCGGCGCTCGACGTTGCGCTGGCCTGGCAATTGCGGAACCCGGAAGTGGAAGACCCAGCTGGGGGTATCGAGGAGGTGAGGAAAAGGAGAGAGGAGTTGGGAATCCCCTAATGTAGAGGCCTGGTTTAGATGTGAATGAACATACCACAAACTCGCTTCTCCGGCTCTAGACTGGGGCAGTCGCTGCGAGCCATTAAGATATGAAGTTCCATCCACAAGACTTATGACTGCCATGATTGCAATGTTCCATGAGGTTATGAGAGAAGGGGTATCAAGCCGTAGAGGGCTTGGCCCCGAACTCGAAATACATATCTACGTGGTATCTTGTTCGCCTTTTTTGTCTCAAATATTGTCCTCGCTGCTGCGTTGTTTATCGAGTTTTGGGTGAACGACTGGAAAATTAATGTCATGACTGCTATAGTTACAGCGGGACTTCAGCGTCTTCCAGCCCCCATCCAAGGGTGGAAACAGCGGATGCTCCAGCACCCAAACTCATGAGTGGCAGCCTTAATAATCTCAACACCACACCTCCAAAACCGAAATAGACTTTCACGGCATATCTCAATCTAGGGGAAGGTTCTACAATTTAAAAGTCGCCTTTTAAGACCATCCAGACAAGGATTACCGAACCGTCCGCCCTACGGTCAAAATGTCGTGGTTCGAGCAGATCACGGCGAAAGCAGCGCAAATTCAAAGTTTGGAAGAGCTGGAAACGGCAGAGGCACGCGACAAGTTTGCCCAGGGTATGTTTTTAAAGGAGGAATATTATAGAGTGCTTGACTAGACAGAGGACTAGCTGCTAATAACCGCGCATCACAGGTTTACCACAGTCATTCACTCTCAGAGAACTTGCGGATGTAACAAGAGAACCCCTCAACCTAACCTCATCGGCGAAATCGAGGGTGAGCAAAGGAACTAGACCTGTGCTCAGCTCTCAGCTATTAACAAATTCTAGGATGTGAGAACGGCGCGAACTCAACTCCTATCGGTTCTTACGTGTCTACGGCGGTGCGGGGACCGTATCACCCCTGAGCTCTCCACAGACCATGACGCAGTCAAAGAACTTGCTCTCAACATCGCCAAACTCATAACCCCCGTGGTCACCCAAGACCAGTCTGAGGGTGTGTATGCTCAACCCTCACATCACTCCACCACGAGACTCACTGCTCCCCAGTTTCAAGCCAGGACCTACTCCAGACCAGTCGAACTGTCGTCGAGCAGTGCCAGACCAACGCCGGGTTGGGCATCACCGTTCTCGAAGCGCTCCTGAGGCAAACCACAAACCCAGTGAGGCTGGAAAACGAGGTCCTGTACACCCTGCTTGCCTACACAAACGAGGAGCAGAGCGGTGGAAGTCACGAAACGGAAGACATTGCGAACCGACTTCTCGAGCAACAATTCAGCGTCCCCGACAGTTCCACCGAGGAGGAGTTCCTCACCGAAACCGTCCTACAAGCCTACCTGCGCCCGCTCTTCTCCCAGTCCAAACCATCCTCCATCACAGCGTCTGGCCGGAAGGCAGAGTACACAGAAAATGCCGCCAGCAAGGGTGAGAGCATGCCCGACGAGTCTGCCGTGACCAAGCCGTGGAAGTACACCGACATGAGAAGTATCCCCGCGGTAGCATGGGCAGTGCGGGAAGCCAACGTAAGTGCACGCAATTCATATTCCAAATCTCCGACAAACTCAGCAAAGAAAAAGGGGGTATCTTCTATACACAACAGACCAGACCAAACCAAAACCAAAAACAAATAAATTAACTCCGTGCCTCCATCCCCACACCCCAGGTCCAACTCATCGCCCAACACTGGCCACTCTTCATCCCCGTGCTGCTCACCCTGGCCGACGACACCGCCACCCCGGTGCGCCGGCGCGGCCTGCTTATCCTAACCGACTTCCTCACCAAGTTCCCCGACAAGACCCTGCACGACACGGGCCTGGCCCAGGTGTTCGAAGACGCCATCTTCCCGACGTTGAGCTACCTTCCCAGTCTGACGCCCGAGGAGGGATCGGTGGAGCTCCTAGTCCCGGCATACAGCGCGCTGCTCTGCCTGGCGAAGAAGCAGCCCGCCATCGGGAAGGACGGGGTTGCCCGTGCGCCAAAGAATAGATTCCTCGACAGAATGCTCCGCGAGGGAGTGTTGGGCGGGTATTTCCACGCGAAAGACCACGTGAGAATTGTGGAGGTGCTCTGTCAACAGACCGTGGCCATCCTGGAAGAGATGGGTGTGCATGCGGTGAAGCATCTCAAGGTGAGAGTTCCCTGATATCCCCGGGCCGGAAAGCCGCGTGAAGCAAGCTCACCAAGCGCCGTAGGATCTCGTCCCGATGCTCTCGACCATCATGACCGACCCTTTCGCTCCCGTCGCTCCTGCGACGCTTCTCGCGGCTATCAAGGCGCTCCAAGCGGTGCTTACAAACTGCTGGCCGCGGATCCCCCACTCGCCATGGCAAGACGAGATTATCAACGCCCTCGTCCTCAGCTGGCTGCATCTTGCAGAGCACAGCCATGGCACGACGGCCAAAACCCACACCCACCTCCAACAGGAACTGCTCACCTCCTCCAGGGCGCTAGCAGCAGTCCTTAAGATGACCGGGGGGGAGACCGCATCGGCAATCGACCTCTCGTCACACGTTGCGCCGCTAGTGGAAAAGGACCCCCGCCTGGCAGCGCTCTTCCCTTCCAACTAACCGCCTCCTCGCCCGACCGTTCCTTCGAAGCATCAAACCCACGCGGAATATCATCGTCCCCAACCATCCCACCCGACTCGGCGCCCCACGAGCCCCGCCTCCCCAACCCGCCGCCGTTATCATCACCGCCACCACCACCACCACCACCATCATCATCCTCATCACCAGCAACAAGACCACCCGACAAAGCCGCCGGTGACTCCTAGTCCACCGGCTGCTGCTTAAACAAGCTCTTCCCGCGCAGCCACTTCCGATAGGCCTTGTACCTCTTCTTGAGCGCGTCCTCCTCCGTGACGGTCAGCGGGTTCTCCGCGACCCGCACCGTCTCGGCATACAGCGCTCTGTCATCTTCCTCCTCCCCCCCATCCCCATCATCCTCTCCCCGGCCCTCGTATTCCCGGTCCCCATTCTCACTGCCGCGACTCCTTCCGTCCTTGCCCCGAACGACCCTCCCGAAATCCACCTCCTGCCCGAGCCCTTCGTCCCTCCACTTGCCGTTTATGAAGGCGAGATACTCGGGCTCGATCTCGTCCACAGGCAGCAAGAATATATTATTACTATTATTGTTGTGGTTGCTGCTGCCGTTCGTGAAGCTACCGCCACCGCCACTACTATGATTCCCATCGACCCCGGCCCCCGCCCCCGTGGACGACGAGACGACCAGGGGGAGGCTTTGTGGATGGGCAACGTACCGCGCGTAGTCGTCGGCCTCGGCGGCGCTGACGGCCGGGTCGAGCGAGTCGCGCACCACCTGGGTAAAGGTCTGCTGGGCGGCGCGGGACTTCTCGAGTGCGGTCTGGTGCGGTTTCTTTTTCTCCTGGTCCTGGTCTCTAGACGGAGTGCGGGTGTGAGTGGACTGGTGCTGGTGGTGCTGGTGGTGATGATTGTGGTTGTTATTGTGCGTTTCCTCGATGCTAGTGTTGCGGCTGTGGGAGTTCGTGCTTTGGCGGCGTTGGTGATGATGGTGATGGTGGTGGGACTGGGTCTCGCTGGGTGTGTTTTTCTCGTGCAGCCAGCGGTGAAGCGACACGCGGCCGTTCGCAGCGGCGCTGGCAGCGCTCTGGGTTGGGCTTGCGGGTTTCTCGCTCACGGATGATGTCTCGGTGTCGTCGGCCATGCGAGCTAGGTCGTTGGGGGCGACGATGGTTACTTCTTTCTTTGCCTTCTTCTTATCATGGGCGTCGCCGTCGGCGTCGTTGCGCACGCGGAATGGGCTGAGGTCGTACCGACCGTCCTGGGTGGACTTGAATGGGATGTATTTGATGGTCGAATTCATTTTGTACGGAAACATCTTGGGGAAGGAGGAGAGGGTGGACGGGCGGTAATATTCCAACCAGTAGTCATCATAGCCAGAGATCGGCTTGCTGTCCGCGGCGGGTGGAAAGGGCGGGTACGGGGCAAGTGTGCGTTCCTTTAGAAACTCCGGGGTGTACCAGCGAATGTAGTCACGCTTCCGCTTTTCCAGCCATGTCCGGGGATCCTCGTGATGAAGGTAGTAGTCCGTAGCCAGATCCCATAGCATGGGCTGCCCCTGGGCGAAGATGTAGTTGCCCAGAAACAGATTGTAGGCTTCTTGGCGCTGACCGTCCAGGAAAGAGTTGTGGTAGTATCGCTTGAAGCTCTCGATCATGTCACGCGAGTGGCTAGTCCACTGGTTGATCTTGCGGTAGGTCTCCATGGTGTTGACCAGCTGCGACCCGCCGTACTGCACGGCAATGGTATCCCCATGATCGTGGTACATATGTGTGAACAGGTTGACGGCGTCGGTGTCGTATTCTACCGTGGTGTCCCCCAGAATACCCAGTGCGTGGAGTTGGTGGCCCAGCGCCCGCTTCCCGATGACAAATTGGGCGGCGTTTGTGCGGTCCAGGCAATCGATACAGTTTGTACGGGCCACGCCGTTCTGGGCGCGGATCGGGGAGACGTGGCCATCGCCGTTTTGGAAAAAGCCCGTGGTGCTCACGACCTCCTCGGCAATGCTCTCAAGCGTACCGATCACGTCCTGGTCGCGGCTCTTGGCAGCGCGCGACATGTCCCAGGCCCGATGGATGATTTTCTTGTCGGCTGGTAGGAACTGGTTGAGGTATGCAATGGCGCGGGTGTATTCTTCCAGGAGCTTGCTCTCGCGCGGCGTCCGCTCGCGAGCCTTGATCAGGTTCAGAACGTAGATGGGCGCGCCGTACCGCTCAAAGAGGTTGTCAAAATGTAGTGCTGCTGCCGTGTAAAAGGGATCTACCAGGTTCAGCTCTATCGGCGGTTTGGGGGTGACACCCGTGTTATCCTGCGTCCAATAAAGGGGGATGGAACCGCGATGTTGTACATATGAGGTGTATGTAGGGTTGGCAAAGAACTTGGGACCCGGCGCATGAAACGAGGTGGTCATGGCCTCGGACACAATCTGCTCCGTCTCGACGTCGTTCGCCACGTATCCCAGGTCATTAGCGCCCCTCTTCAAAAACCTAGCGCCAGCGAAATAACGGCTGCGGCGGGCGATAATTGCTATGTGGGCGGTCCTCCCGTAGACGGACACGGCGGACTGGTCAATGTAACCATGTATAATCGGGCGGCACCAGTCGAAGGGCGCGTTGAGGACCTTAGCGGCCGGCCGAAGCAGGTGGTCGTTCCAGACAAACATGGGGTTGAAGTCATCGTCAGAAGAGCAAGGGCGGCCGTTGGTCATGGCGGCTCTCTCCCTAGATATGTTGTGCTGTAGGCTGCGAGTGATATCGTAGGAGTAGCTGTAGTAGAAGGACCGGGCCAAATCGAGATGGTTGAGGATGCCTAAGAAGCGTGACTCTTCGGTGTTGCGTTGGTCTGCTTTGTAGTTGGGCGACGTTAGGGGGATGAGGTCGGTGTCGTCAATCTGGTAGACGTAGTGGCCTCCGATCATGGCGACGGTGCTCTTCTTGGTGATCAACAACATGTAATAGGGGCCTGTGAACTTGATAAAGCCCAGGATGCCCCAGGTGGTGCACCGCAGCTTTAGCCCGCCCGTCCCCTTATTGCCGTCGTCTATAGTATCGAGGAGCTGGTTCATGTCCTTCTGGGTATAGACGGTCTTGTCGTCGGTGATGCTCAGCTCCGGGGCGTCGTCGCCGTCGTTGGTGCGGTCGACTTTGAGTATGCGGTATCGTTTCTCGGTCACGTCGCCGCCGACGATATAGAAGCGGCTGGCCGTTTCGTACAAACTGAACCTGTGCATCTTGTGATTCGGCCTTGGACGCGGGCCTGCGTCATCGCCGGTGGCCCCAACACGCCCTTCATCGTCTTCATCTTCGACAGTCTCGGACAAGCCTGGCCGCGAGGCTGGGTCGGGGCTCGAGGTACGCAGGAAAGGCCGGGCAACAGCGGGTTCGTCTTCATCATTGTCGTCACCTACGCCGGCGCCCGTAGCGGTACCGGCGCGGGGAGTGGCCGAAACACCGGATGTAATGGAATCTGCATCTGTACCGGCATTGTTGTGTAGAGGAGGAAAGACGGGTTCGGGAGTGTCACACGAGTCCAACTCCGGGGCTCGCTGCGGCGGCGGGGGGTGTTGTCGGGGCGGTGTCGTTTCTGAGGCGGGGCCCGCAGCGATGATGGTGTTGACGCTGGCCAGTTCTGTTTCCCCCGTGTCAGCCATGTCGGTCTGTTGGTCCGTTGATCCCCCGGTCCACTGTTGTGCGGGTTAATCGGCCATGTGATCCGAGTGAGGTGTTGTTGTTTGGGCCTTGTTGGGAGGTAGTCACTCGAGGTACTTTGGGTGCTCAGCGCTGGCTGTTGCTGCTATGGGATATGGTGACATGGAATCTCACAATCCAACCCCACATGCGCCCCACCATCTTGAACCCGCTGTCGCACTTCTCAGAACCGTCCCTTTTTATACTAGCGTCTTGGCGTCCCGCAAAACACCTTGATCTCTGTCAGCTCTTTCAGCCCTGCCAAGGATCGGAACCAACTTCCCCCCATGTTACAATCGTCAAAATCTACAAATAGCACGTCCAGTGTCAACCCCGGCCGGGAAAAAAAAACCATGCTTGCATACTGTTATTAGAGGGCGGCCAGAACGGCGCGGGGAGAAAGTTGGACGTGTGAGTCTGAGTGGATGGTGCTTTGCCTTGTTAGGCCAAACTGGGACTGTAGTCAGCAACATTTGGGGATGGCGCCTTGATGACAAGGGACTTAAGGGAGGCTGAGGAAGCTCGGCGAGAGATAAAAGGGTAAATTGGAGTTCCAACGGGGAAATGGTTGGAATGCGGGCCCTGGCCCTCCCCAAGATCGAGGAAAGAATGCCATCCCAGCAACGTCTCTCGTTTGTTGCCTGCTGGATGCCGCTGGGATCGGTACCTGGAATTACGGGAATAGATGTCCTTGTTTGAGTAAACCTAGGTTGAGTTTGCCATTGCCGCAGTGTGGTACTGTGTTAAGTCCTTGGAATTTGCGGGCAGAGAACATAAAGTCGTGAGAATGATCGACCTTAAATGGGTGCGAATAAAAGAAAAAAGGGGCGTAACGGTTTCGTAGATAAGTCGAATTTATGCGGTTGAAGTTAGGGCCGCCCCTACGGATACCCGGTGACGAGAGCATTTTTTTCTTTTTTCTTTCACTTAAAAAAAGAAAAAAAGAAACAAAAAAGAAAAAAAAAAGAAAAAAGAAACATCCTTTCTGAAGCAAATGCGGCCTTGATCATTTTTGAAGTACACAAGTGGGCACGGGGGCGAGGAGGGTTCGGCGCCCACCGTCGCCGAGACAATAACGCGGGATACTCCATGTCGTTGAATCAGCTTCGCCATGCTATGCGCTGGTGGTTCTCAGCATCGAATCACGAAGTCAAGGTGGTTGTCTTGGCCAAGTTCCATTTCGCTCGGGCCGAGGTTATCCTCGAGAGGTGGGAGGAGGAAGATCGGGACCACCAGGGACCCATCACACGGAATCGGGCGGCTGCCATGGAGCGGTCTCCAGACGGCTCCATTGCTCAGCCGGTTCTGCAGCAGACCATCACCATCTCGCGCGACACAACGGCGGACCCGGAATCGTACCACGTCGCTGGACCAGCGACGCTGGTGGAGCGCTGGTGTTGAAATATCATCTCTTGTTCCTGCGGGATCCTAATCCGCAAGAAGGAGATCTCGTGATTGGCATTCCGGCTCTGCAGCTCTATGCATCCCAGGTCTGGGCTGTTGTGGCTAGCTAAGTGAGGATGGCCAAGGGCTCTACCCCCCTCTTTTCTTTCTCGAGATGGCCGCCTTATTCCTCAGTTGGTTAAATCTATCAATTTATAAACTACTCAATTGCTTAAAGATATCTTTCAAGTTGAGCGATAGAACTTTCTTTTTCTTTCTTTCTCTTATTTTCTCCCCTTTTCCTCTTTTTCTTTTTTCCCTTCGTTCTTTCTCTTCTCGTTTCTTTTTTCATCTTTCTTTTTTTTTTCTTTTCTTTTTCGGCTATGTAACCTTAACTAACCCAGTTCCTAGGCGCTCTGCCCTATGTCCTACCTTAGAACATCGAATGGCCGTAATCTACTATAAGCCTTCCATTGCTAAGTACACCTCAGGATGGGCATCCTCTTGTTGGCTGTTGAATCGCTAACTGCAAGGGACTCTGGGAGATGAGATTGAGGACTGTGCGGCGTACCCACTGTTTACATCCATGTCGGCAACCGCATTTAGTCGAGAAAGCAACGAATCACTTCGTTCAGGCAGCCTGTTTTCCTGTGGCTCCTTGGTCTTAAATTCCGAGTCGACTCGGCCACCCAATCCGAGCGTGTCCTTTCCATTGGCTTTCGCCCGGTTTGATCTGGGGGCTGAGGTTTCATTAGTCATCCGCTCATCAGCTTGCTTGGATAAAAACGCCCACACAAGCTTGGCGATCTGAGCCGCCGGTCAGCCGCTGGAGTTCATACTTACTCCAACAATCATGGCATCTGCAGCCGCGGAACCCAATAGGGTGTGGCTGGACGGAGTGGCGGGCTCCTTGGGGCAAATTCGGGTCGCGAACCTGACATCGGCGCAATGTGTCGGCATCACCACCGTCGTCGTCCTCGTGTCGCTCCTATTTAGGTTCGCGTCACCTCAGATCGACCCTCGTGAGCCTCCGGCTGTGAAACCAAGCATTCCGGTTGTGGGCCATATCGTGGGGCTGGTCCGGCACGGTGTGGACTATTTCGAAGCGCTTCGGTATGCTAGCTCAACCCCCAAACCAGCAAGCGGTGACTAACTGGTAGCAGGAAGTCACAAAGGAAGCCGGTGGCTGCTGCGACGCTGCCTATGCTCAATGGGAAAGTCTACGTGTTATGGGATACACCAATGATACACTCCGCCATGCGTCACAAGAACTTGACCTTTGACGTGCTGGCCATGGAGTTTGCCCAACGCGTCTTTGGTCTGTCTAATCTAGCGATGGAGAAGCTTTGGGGTCCGGACCACGACATCGAAACGTCAGCTGCCGGAATCACGATGCAGCGTATCAAAGCCGCTATGCAGGGCCAGTACTTGCACCGTATGAACGTCACAGCCCTCGATTATATCGCCGACCACCTGAACGACATGGATTCGGACGGCTTGAAGATCGACAACTTGTACAAGTGGCTGTTGTATTTCATGACTACGGCGACCTCTGAGGGTCTCTACGGCAAAGACAATCCCATTCGCCAGGATCCTTCGCTGGTCGATGCGCTGTGGTAAGCTGATCCTATTCTCTTCATGACTAAAACTTGGGAGTGCTAAGCTGCCGTGTGATAGGGAATTCGAGGGCAATATGCAACCGCTTTTCCTTGGCATCATACCAAAGCTGATCGCCCGCAAAGCATACGTGAACCGTGAGAAGGTCATGGCAGCTTTGGTACCCTGGTATATGAGCAAGAAGGACGAAGCGCCCGACACCGCCGAGGTCCTCAAAGTTCGGGCCCGCACAGCTCGGGAGTTTGGCTTTCCGGAAGAGGAGATTGGAAGGCTAGAGATGGCGCTGCTCTTTGTCGCCACCACCAACACCATTCCCACTCTGTACTGGTTCGTCACCAACGTGTGGCTACGACCGGACGTAGTCGAGGAGATCCGGCGCGAAACACTATCACTTGTCAAGCTGAGCAACCGCGAAGGCGGACAGCGCCGTCTGGCCACGTTGGATATCTCACAGCTGGAAGGCCACGCGCCGGTGCTGGTCAGCTGCTATCGCGAATCCATCAGACTCGGCAACCAGTCCATCGGGACCCGGCGCGTCGTTCACGATACCGTGCTCACTGATTCAGTGGGAAATCAACATCTTTTCAAAGCCGGCGTGGACGTGATGTGGTCCGTCAAGGCCATGCATCACTCAGGGGATGTCTGGGGCCAAGACCCGCTGGAGTTTGATGCTAGGCGATTCAAGGAGCAGGATAAGTTCGATCGTGCGAAGAAGCAATCCTATATTCCTTTCGGGGGCGGCAAACATTTGTGCCCGGGGCGCAACTTCGCCTTCGCCGAGAATCTCGGCTTCGTGGCCGCCTTGGTGATAGGCTTCGAGCTGCAGGGTCTGGACGAGGCGAACGTCAGATTGGGGATGTCGACCATAGGGGAAGCTGTTGCTAAGCCTCCCGGGGATGCGCGAGGAGGCGCCGTGGTGATCAAGCGGAGGCAAGGATGGGAGGATGTCGACTGGAAATTTACTTGTTGATGGGAGGCTGCAAGGAATGCTGCCGCCTTTTGTATTTTGGCATGAACACGACAACTAAACATGTCAGCCTGGGGTCTTTTGAAATGACTAGACATTTGTAAGTTTTTCAGCGGCGGGAGTCCAAGATACTCACAACAATACAAGCTCGGGACGAAATTATGAATGGTCAGCAATCCTAATGATTAACCCTGACACTGTCAATGAGAGCCGGGAGAAACGTCATGGATGCTATATACAGCCATAAGAGGACTGATTGCTCTCTACGCTTGTAGTATACAAGGGCGGAGAACGTGGCGTTTCGGCCTAATACCATTCCGTCATCTGTACCTGCATGCGTACTCGGCTGCCTCCCACGCTCCTCGAACCTATCGGGTGCCAGCTCCATGGAATTGTCCATCCGATCCCGCTTTCGGAGTCCGATACCAAACGGCGAGGAAAGTGCAGGGCCCACTTCTCATTGCTCCGGATGTCTCCAAATGGATTCCGATGGTGTCGGCTCGTTGGGTAGGTAGGTACCTAGCAATGCTCGTAGCTCTTTCCGTATCGCAACTTCCCGTAGCCAATATTCGAAAGGTTTACATGTGCTTACCAAGCCGTCCCGTACCATGTGGGTTAATAGCTCCCGTCGTTCTTTCTGATTTTTTTCCTAAAATTATTTTGTGATGAAGCAAACGTCAACGCAAACTCGGACTGGAATTCAATCTTGAATTGAAGCCGACGGAATAATTAGGATTCTAATAATCCGTGCTTACTCGAGCTTCCTTCCCAGAATTCCAACCTTCCAGCAGCTCTCGGAATTGCCGGATCGAGGTCGCACTGATTTTTGGGACACCTACAATCGAACCCAAGCCAGCGTTAGAACTTAGAGCAGACAGTCACACCGTCAACATGGCAGGCGAATCAAAGAAAATCCGAGTGCTTGGCCTCCACGGCATGGGAACAAGCGGCCACATTTTCAAGACACAGACGGGTGCGTTCCTCCTAACCCATGGGCCATCATTGCTGGCCTTGCTCCCATCACCCAATTCAAAGAACTCGCTAACCCACCACCCCCAGCCGCCTTCCGCAGCAAACTCGCTCCCGACTCCAACTTCACCTTCGAATTCCTAGACGCGCCCTTCAGCGCCGCCCCGGCCCCAGCCACCGACGTCTTCTTCACATCCAACCACCTCACGTGGTGGGAATCCCCCTCAGTCGACCACATCCGCCGAGCCCACGCCTTCCTCGACAACTACCTCGAGAAGCACGGGCCCTTCGACATCCTCATGGGCTTCTCGCAGGGCTGCGCGCTCATCGGCAGCTACCTGCTCTACCACGCGCGCACCACACGCTGGGGGCCGGTCCCCTTCAAAGCCGCCGTCTTCATTTGCGGCGGCCTGCCGCTGCCCGCTCTGGCCGACCTCGATGTCGAGGTCTCGCAGCGGGCCGAGCGGCTCAACCAGATGACGAGCGACCTGCTACGGCAGCGAACCGGATCGCTGGCCGCGATGGCGGGGAATCCGGAGCTGATACAGCACGGCGTGGGCATGTGGGATAATGTGGCCGACCTGCTGCATGACCCGGAGGAGATCCCTGACGAGGGGGACGTGTTTGGGCTCGACTACACCACCATGCCCACAGACCTGCGCATCCGGATCCCCACGGTGCATATCTCGGGCGGCAAGGACCCGCGGTGGCCCGCCAGTTGGCAGCTGGCGTACTTCTGTGACAAGAGGAAGATGTACGACCACGGCGGCGGGCACGAGATTCCCAGAACGACCGTGGTGTCAAATAAGATTGCTGGGTTGGTGGAGGAACTGGCCAAGGAGATACAGAGCGACTAAGAAGTGTACTGTGTAAGGGCGACCCTCGCTGAGTTAACGGCGTCGGGTTGTTTTGAGGGTTAGAAGGGGACAAGACGACGTTAATAAAAGAGATGGCAGTAAATTTTGCCAGAGGTAGATCCTAGACTTTGAAGGAATTCTATACTTCCCATCTCCCATGTCCATTGGCGATTTGAGAGATCCTGTAAGATTTATATCAGTCTCTTAAAACTGAGCCCCCTGTGACTTGTCTGATACCCATAGTAATATTTTTATTGAAGACTTGACGATGTAAGTAGTTAGCGACCTTTTTGTATAGTAGGGCTAAAAGAACGAGAAAAAAATAAGAAGAGAAAAAGAAGCAAAAGGCAGAGAAAAAGAGAGAAGGAGGAAAGAGAGTATCATTGAGGATAGGGGAGTTGAGCAGCGCTCGTTTGCACGTACAATTAGTATATAGTATAGGCCAGGTACCTTAGCTAGGTAGACATTATAGATAAGTCAATAGGTAGTTATTAGGGACTAAACCTTATAAAAAGTATAATAATTTCAATTATAGAGCAGATAAACCTTATAAGCACCATTACCTTGCCTTCGATTGACTGCCCAACTAGCCATAGCAATACCTACAAATCACGAGTTTCTTCTCATCATCTCCTAAGCGGCCGACCCCTAGATTCTTCTTCCCAGAACTCATCCTCGCTACCTTCCATCTCATCATCATCTTCGAGCGCGCTACTGACCCGTGTTCTTTTCTTGGGACTCTTGTTCCTACTCTGCAAGCTGTTCGTATTGCGTGGCCTAAACTCGGCTAGGTACTGGTCTCCCGACATCTCGCGCACTGTCTGGTCGAGAGTGTGGGTTCGCACCACTAGCAGATTGCGCACCAAGGGGCCCGGAAGGATGAAGGTACATCGCGCAAAGATCGCCCAAGCGAAACGCGCTAAGAGAAACTCGACCGCGACCTCCTTCAATGGCTGCAGCTCTACGTTGAGGTAGAGGGTTGGAAGCTCATCACTGGGGCTCCCAGACGAGACGTGGCTGACCCACGCCCCTTTCTTGGGCACCCAGGAAGAAACGTCGTGCATCGAAGAGCGCGTGTATATCAGAGCGGAGCAGCACAACATCCAGCGGGTCGTCGGTCGTGACGCAGTCACTCCAGAGGGCGTAACGGAACATGGCGTTATCGGCAAACCAGGAAAACTCGGTTCGCGGAATGAGAAGTGCGCTCTCTATAACCAGTGAATGATTCGTCAGCCGACAGGAGATGTCGCGTGCCAGGACTATGTTAGCGAAACCTGCTTCCCGAGCCTGATGGGCTGTTGCTTTAGGAATAATCAAGCTGGGATGGAGCCAAGAAGGGGGGAGATTATCGTGGGGAAAGCGAAAGGATGCAAAGTCTGGCACAATAGTGTATCTTTCATCAACTGCATCCGAGAAAAGAAACCATTAGCTGGGATGAAGTGTCAACCAAGGTATATCTATACTATTACCGTTGTCAGGTAACCGAAAGTAATAGCTCGACCGGGTTAAAACATCGTCGGGACCTGCGAGGGTGGCAGGGCCATCACGAGTTGTAGATAGAAAGCCATCCCATCGCGAGTTAGCTAGCAATGCGCAGGCAATGCGCGCAGTTTCATGATGCACGCCACCGGGGCCGTCAAGGGCCGAAAGAGAGAACAGGATGTTATGTGTGTCGGGATAGCCAGGGTGGCGGAACAAGACATTCTCTATATGCACGGCATTGGGCGGTACATTTACCGCGTTGGGGTGAGATGGCTTGCCGTAGCGGTGGCGGATATCAAACGACGCATTCCCGGGAGGGTTTGGTGGAGAAGCGGAAGAGTTCGTGTTCATGGTAAGTGTTGTCGTGACTGACTTCACAGAGGAAGCGGATATGATGACTACCTATCTAATATACCTACTCTGACCGCCAAGACATCCTACGGGTTAAAGAGGAGAAGCAGCCAAATTGGCTCCGGCGAGGGATGGCATGTTACGAAAAGGACCGGATTGTAGGATTTGGCGGTCAATCAATACGTAAAGGACTAGATACTTACCGCGGCGTGGAAGGGAAGGGTTACAGATAGACCACTCGAAGGTTAACCCTCAGCATTGTCTGCCATCGGACTTCTCACGCTCTGGTACAGACCGATTTTCGTTACAAAATCAAGAGCCGTCGGGACTGGGCCGACTGTTCTCGAGAACCAACGTGCTGTTGATGCTCCTGCGTACAGTAGCAGTATGCGTTGTTACCACGAACCACCTACGCCGAGTCTCACAAGAAACTGGTTAAAACCAATGCCTGCGGGTGCTTGCGGAATCTGCCGAGTAGAAAATGCACCATTCTCCCCTTCAAATCGTCAGAACAACCCCAAGACCAACGTAACACTATCCCTTACTTGAGTCAGCTAGTTACAACTCATACGGCTTCGAATCCTCGAATATCAAATGGGGTTTCCGTTTCGCCAAGTTCAATATGGTCTCGGCAAACACTCCGTTGGCCCAGGCAAACCAACTCCCTAATAAGCGCGCTCAAGTCAGCAACACCGCAGCAAATGCCCTCCGAGCACAAAACTTACGGGTGTACGAGTGGACGAAATTTACGTTGACGCTCTCATGGATCAGCCCCAACAGGCTCGAGTTGAGCACTAGCTGCAAGCACCCCATAATCTCCTCATCGTCATCTGACGTCTGCGCCTGCACCAACAGGCTCATGGGCCACGCATTCCGCAGGCCAATATGCGGTCCTATCACATAGCCAGTTAGTTGCCGAGTCGATCACCACTTAGGACGGCCACCATAACCACTCCACCCAGCATCAGAAAGAGAACAACCTACCTCCAATCCCATTGAAGGCCTGTCCGGTCAGAAAGTACGGATTCCCAGCCTTATCCAACAACATGCGCCTCGTGTTTTGATACGTCGGGTCATCGGCGGCGACGAAGCCCATCAGCGGCAGGGCCAACAAGCTCGGGTAGTTGGCGTCGTCCATGAGCAGGGAGCTGCCGTAGCCGTCGACCTCGTAGGCGAAAACGTCGCCGTACTTGCGGTGGCTAACCACGCCGTGCTCGTGGATGCCGTCAGTGATGCGCTTACCCCAGTCCTCGAGCGTCTGCGCCAGCTGGGCGTCGGTGGGCGACGCCGTGGACTTCCGGAGGATGGCGGCCGTCCGCTTCAGCTCCACGGCCATTTGCGCGTTGGCCGGGATGAAGAAGCCGAAGATGGTCGCATCGTCACTGGGCCGGAATGCTGAGCGGATGAGGCCAGTCTCATTGTTCAGTGGGTTGCCGATACCCTCGAGGTTGAGGGTTTCGGTGCCCGTGTTGGTATTGCGCTGGAAGGTGTAGGCGTTTTGCCGGTAGGAGCCTTCCGAATCAAAGGTGCTCTGACTTTGAGCGTCGAGGACGGAGAGAACTGTCTCCACAGCCTTGTACCAGCGCGGATTTAGAAAGTCTCTGCTACCTGTGTGGCGGTGGAATTCGTTGGCCAAGGCGAGGAAGTGGGCCAGCGAATCGAGCTCGTACTTGCACTCGAAGACGGCAGTGGGCTCGTAGATTGGGTGCACGGCGTCGTCCTGCCCATTGTAGCTCACGGGGAGTTCGGAAATGGGGGGTGGCTGGAAGGCGTTGCAGTATGGGGACTGAATCACGTATTCGCTCTGCGTGTTGATGGCGCCCAGTATCAGGTTGAAGATGGCTGGGTCCTTTGTCGCCAGCGCCTGGTACGGCTTCAGCTGGTTGGTGCTGTCCCGCAGCCACTCGGCCAGGATGTCGCCCGTGATGATAAAAGACTGAGGCCCCGCCCATTCCCCCTCGTCAACCCAAGAATCCTTCTCCTTCCGGCTGCGTAGCTTCTGCTTGATCTTCTCATCCTTCCCATCCGTGTGAAACTTGACTGTTGTATCGGTGGTAGAGGGGAAGGCGTTTTCGAACAGACGAGCGAGGTCGGGGTCCTTCATTCGGGAGGTGATATCGTTGATGACTTTTTCAATCGCATCTGAGTGGAACGTCCGACAGCGGGGGTTGGGTCGTTGGAAGGGGAGTTTGAGGGGCCCCTTGGTGAGGGGGGGACTTTGCATTGTTAGCTTCCATGTTAGGGCCGTAAAATCGCCGGGCTGCTGGCGACGCAGTGCGACTCACTGGGGGAAGGCAGCATAGCTGGCGTAGTCTGGACAAGCTTTATGGTCGAACGTGTTCGCCAATGGCTGTTGGTTGTCATCCCGACCTTGTGCTGTCACCGTCGCCAGTAACGGTGTGATGAGGGAGTACCATGAGAAACGATACATGTTGCCTAAGCTTGTGCGTTGCAAACTGTTTCAAGCGAAGAGCAATAGGAAATACAAAGTGCCTTGCACCCCGACGACCGAGACTCGAGCCACAATAGATATGGTAGGTACTTCAAGGTCGGTAATTAGCACAGCCCGTTGCTTCACCAGTCCGGCGCCATCCCTGTCAATTCCGCCCTGCGGGGTTGTCAAGGCAGACCTGGAAGGTGGTCGCAGTGAGAAAAGGGGAGTCAAGAGAAGCCCAGGGTAGTCGCAGGGACAGATTGATGTTGCACGGCAGTGGGTGCTCGTAGCAGGGACGAAGTAACCCGTCGTTCGGGGAGGTTAAGGTTAAGCTGTTCTGAGATTGGTGTTTCGGCCCCGCGAACCGGCTTGGCGGGGCGGGTCAGGGTCCTGGCTGGTACCGAACCACCGAATGTACGCTGAGCCCCCCCGACCGGGGTTGAAACATCCAACCGAACAACAGCATGGTGCCTAAGGAACTTAGAAGACGGGTGTTTGGCTTCTTCTATCATCATCTCATGTTGTCGATGTGGGGGGAGGCCAAACGATCTCGGCGCCCAAGTTCTCACTAACCATTGTCAAAAGTAAACATCCCCATTGTAAGCGTAGCGGCGGGCAACAATGTGCTAGTTATCTACTACCCATAGCAGTCAACATCACTTCTTGGAGAAAAAAGCCATGATGTTGCCCTGGCCCTTCGGACCACCCTTTTTTGGCTTTGCAGCCTGAGACGAAGCTGCGCTCGTGGTCTTGGGTTTGGTCGGTGGGGGCGCCTCATCTTCCGAGAAAGACTCCCATCCAGGTTCTTGAATCGTGACTGGGACAGAACGTTAGCATTAAAGGCTGGGGGTGTGGACTGGATTGGCAACGTACCAAGATACCCCTGGTCATCCATGATCTGTTTCTTGCGCATGATCCGCCTCTTGCCGCGCCGCCGGCCATCAGTAGAAGCAGTAACGACTTCCGCCTCCTCCTCTTTCACAGGCTCCGGCGCCGGAGGTTCTTCTTCCTCCATTGGTTCCTCCTCGGGCGTCTCCTCTTTCTCTTCGACTTCCTCTTCCTCGTCATCCTCTTCCATCATCCGTCGAAGATCCTCCTCCCTCTGTCTCTTAGTTTTAAATCCCGACCCAGCCCGCGGTTTCGGTTGTGGCAACTCCTCGTCATCCTCTCCGTCATCGGACAAGGGTTGCATGCTCGAATCCTCACTACTGGGAGTCGCAACCTCTGCTTCCTTCTTAACCTTGGTTGGTTTGGTTGCCGTTTTCGAAAACGCCTGCATGATCCCGGAATTACCACCCCGTTTCAAGGACGGTGCGGGTTTCTTAGTGGGCCCAGAGGTGGAAGGCTTCGGAGCCGCCTCCTGGATAGGTTGGGTAGGCTTCGACTCCTCTTTGACATTTGGAAAGGCGGGCTTTGTTGGGGGTTTCACTACTGCAGCGGCAGCGGCAGCCCGGAGAGCAGCCCCTTGTCGTTCTCTACGACGCACCCAAGGGTTGGTGATGGGAACAGTATGTTTTACATCCTCACTGGTAGTGGGGGTAAGCATTTGGTTGGCGGCATCAACTAGCAGGGCCATATCCTATGAAATGGTCAATCATTGGCGTGGAAGGAGTTTCGGGGCTGTGTGGTCTGACCTTTGTCGGGTGAGGTGCAATGCTGTAGACGTGAATCGAAGTGACCTCCTCGTAGTCCGCAAGAGTGTCTTAACTTCAGTTAGAAGGCTGGTTTTAGTGCAAGTTTGGGTTAGCTACTAACCTTTGAGTTGGTCTTCAGGGACAAGAGAGAGTACGGATGCGGGCACAACTTCGGTCAGGGAGTCGACCTCCATTGCCGAGCTTGACATCTCAATGTCACCATCTGCCCCATCCTGAGATTCTGATGGTGGATTTGTAGCCTTCTTAGTGCCATACACTAGGTACGTGGCATGCACAGCTCCAGGACGTTTCGCATTTTGGTTTCTGTGAAATTCATAGAGCATCCTAGGCAGTATTAGTTGAAGTTTAGTTACAAGTTCAAAAATAAACTCGTACTGTTTTGCTGTATTGACATGAACCTGTAGCGCCTGGCTCAAAACCCGATATGTAATCTATGCAACCGGTTCCGGTTGGTTAGTCGATGATGATGCCTAACATAGATGTTCGTGATATCGCTGTGCAAAAATAGGATCCATACCACTTTATCCTCAGTTAGGACATTCTCGGCCAGGAATTTGTTGTAGCTATCCATGGTGGTTCTGCAATGTTGTTCTGACTATCTCAGAAACCAAAGCCTGGGTCGTCCGTGAAATGAAGAATGGAATTGGATTGGTGATAACTACCTGGTGAGGGACAAGTCGCGACGCGGCTTCGCTCCAAAGCGCGAAGTCACGTTCTTTCCAATAAAACCCTGGTCGCCGGGCTGGACCTTCAGGTGTTAAAGCCCCCTGCAGCAGCCCCTGTGTCAAACACGCCTTCAGTGATTCGCTAGCCTAAAATATGGGGCCGGGACGCGACAAAAGCTTCGATGGGACCTTCAAGGTCTTCAAGGTGCTTGTTGGCCCCCCCACCGCAATCTCCTTATTCCACCATCTCGATTCCTGTCCACAAGGGTTCTTTCCTCCACCAACTTCCATCCCATTCATTCAACAATGCGCCATGCCTCGCCTTAGATTTGCCATTTTCCCCATTTAATCCAGCTAGAGTCTGTTCATGTCACGACTCTTGTTGCGTTCTTTGCTCTAAGCTCAACAAACTACAAGCCGCCCGTCCGAGACGCGGCGCATCCCGAGGGCAGCCATCATGGCCTCGTTTCCGCGTTTCCGGTTTCTGGCCATTGCCGTCGTCTTCCATTTAGTGTACATACTCTCCATCTTCGACATCTACTTTGTCAGCCCCATTGTTTCGGGCATGCGCTTGTTCCAAATAGAAAGGCCAGCGTCGACCCCACCACCCGCAGATCGTCTAGTGCTCTTCGTAGGTTCGTGAAGCAAGAGAAGTCCTGTCCTAACAAACGAGCCACTTGCTGATGGGGTTGTTGTATTTAGGAGACGGATTACGAGCCGATAAAGCCTTCCAATCGCACCCCGAGCCCTATCCTAAATCCGACGATGACCTTGTTCCGCGCCCCCTTGCTCCCTTTTTAAGGTCCAAAGTTTTGGGGGAAGGGACATTTGGTGTCTCACACACGCGTGTGCCAACCGAATCCAGACCGGGGCATGTGGCTCTCATTGCCGGTCTGTACGAGGATGTCTCTGCGGTTACTACGGGTTGGAAGTTGAACCCTGTCAATTTTGACAGCGTGTTTAACCGCAGCCGGCACACTTGGAGCTGGGGCAGCCCCGACATTCTGCCCATGTTCGAGCAGGGTGCCGTACCGGGCAGAGTGGACGCTTATACATACGGTGCTGAGCTCGAGGACTTTTCTTTGGATGGGTTTGCGCTGGATCTCTGGGTGTTCGACCACGTCAAGGAATTGTTCGCCGAGGCTCGTACTAACAAGACGCTCAACGATGCGCTGAGACAGGACAGGATCGTTTTCTTCCTCCACTTGCTGGGGCTGGACACCACTGGACACTCGTTCCGGCCATACTCCAAGGAGTACCTCAACAACATCAAGGTGGTTGATAAGGGTGTTCAGGAGATCACAGAGTTGATGAAAGATTTCTATGCCGACGACCGCACCGCCTTCGTTTTCACGGCCGACCATGGCATGAGTGACTGGGGTAATCATGGTGACGGCCACCCGGACAATACCCGGACACCTCTCATTGCGTGGGGTTCCGGGGTTGCCAAGCCCCAGCTCTACCCAGGAGAGGTCGCGCCAGGACACGACGAATATTCTTCCGATTGGAATTTGGATCATATTAGGCGGCACGATGTCGAACAAGCCGATGTTGCTGCTCTTATGGCATATCTCGCTGGTACCGAGTTTCCGGCGAACTCGGTCGGCGAACTGCCACTCTCCTTCCTGACAGCTGGCCTCAAAGAGAAAGCCGAGGCATCGCTTGTCAACGCACAGGGGATACTCGAACAGTACCGAGTCAAAGAGGAGGGTAAGAAACTCACGGAGCTGAGGTACAGACCGTACGAGCCCCTGAGCGACGAAGGAATGGCGACCGAGAGCCGGGTAGCGCACATCCGGCAGCTCATCGAAACCGGCAGCTATGAGGAGGCCATTGAGGAGTCGGCCGCTCTTCTGAAGGTTGGACTTGGTGGTCTCAGATATCTGCAGACTTATGATTGGCTGTTCTTGAGGGCTCTCATCACTATTGGTTATTTGGGATGGGTAGCATATGCCCTCACCACCGTCATCGACCTCCATGTGTTGCACGGACGCATCCAACCCTCGAGAACCTTAATTGGGACTATTATTTCGACTTCTGCCTTGACGGCGCTCTACGCGTCGTTTGCCATCTCCAAGTCGCCACTAACCTACTACGCATATGCGTTCTTCCCCGTATTCTTTTGGGAAGAGGTGTATGCCCGGCGGGAGAGTCTGACAGAGGGCCGCAAGGAATTGTTCGGGCACATCAAGTCAAGCAGCAATTTTGTTTCGTTGGTCTTTAACTGCGCCGTTTATGTTGGGATCATCGAGTCACTGGTAAGTTCCTTTCTCTGACTCCATACCCGGGCATGTGGACTAACAATTCAGGCCTTGGGCTATATCCACCGCGAAATCTTGACAATACTCTTCGTTATTGGCGCCTTTTGGCCTATTGCATATGGCTTCTCGTTCCTCCGGCAACATATGGCCCTGTCAATCACATGGTTCCTATCCTGCATAGCCATGAGCACCTTCACACTACTTCCGCCAGCCATGACGACCGAGGATGTCAACATGATGTTAGTTCCCCCGAGACACTCCTAGGCTAAGCTAACCAATATCACCGTAGCATGCTCGGAGGCGCATTGATGGTCCTCGTTGGCATTATCTACCTAATTCTAGAAGATTTTGTTCTCTCGGACTTTGGCTGGTCCGAGAAGCCCTCGTCTCCAAGAAACCACGTTTCAAGGACGTTGGTGGGCATCCAGATTGGCTTGACCCTCCTTGCTGCGCTTGTCACCCGCTCTAGCGCTTTGTCTATGCAAGCCAACCAGGGCCTTCCCCGTGGCAACCAGGTGATGGGCTGGGTTGTTCTTGGTAGGTTTCTGGTCAACAGTAGATTTTAGGGGCTTTGCTAACGTTGAAATAGTTGTTTCGCTGCTGATGCCGCTGGCGTACCGGGCGAAACCCAACAACCATTACATGCACAGGATTCTGGTCATCTTCCTCACTTGTGCCCCTACCTTTGTCATCCTAACCATCTCGTACGAGGGACTCTTCTACATCGCCTTCTCGGCGGTGCTCGTCAGCTGGGTCCGGTTGGAACATGCCATCTACAAGTTTCCCTCGTCGTCAGCCAACGGCGCGGCCCGCAGCGCGCCCAGCCCGGCCAAACCGCATAACCTCGAAACGTCACAAACCCTCCCGTCTCCTTTCCGCCCGCTCACCCTGCGCGACGCCCGCGTCGCCCTCTTCTTCTTCGTCCTCTTCCAGGCGGCCTTCTTCAGCACGGGCAACGTGGCGTCCGTGTCATCCTTCAGTCTCGACAGCGTGTCTCGCCTGATCCCCATCTTCGACCCCTTCTCGCAAGGCGCCATGCTCATCCTTAAGTTGCTGATCCCCTTCGCCCTCATCTCGGCCAACCTCGGCATCCTCAACAAGCGCCTGGGTGTCGCGCCGTCGGCGCTGTTCATGGTTGTCATGGCTATCAGCGACATCTTGACCCTGTACTTCTTCTGGGTCGTCAAGGACGAGGGCTCGTGGCTGGAGATTGGGTCTACCATCAGTCACTTTGTCATTGCGAGCTTGTTGTGTGTGTTTGTGGCGGCCCTCGAGGGTGTCAGCGCCATGTTTATTGCTGGTGTCGAGGTGAGCGAGGACGTGGACAGGGCGGTGGGAAAGGGGGCTGTGGCGGAGGTGTTGTTGGAGAAGACTGAGGCAGAGCGGGATGGTGGGGCGGGTTCTGGCGGTAAATAGGGGTGTTGGAGATAATGATAGTGGATATATTGATTCTAGATGTGTTACGATCTGGTGCCATACAAACGGCTATTTGTTTTACAGCGCGGGCGGGGGGCGGTTAGACCGGTAGATGGGAAAAATATAATGTCACTTCTTGAAAGATGTTCTGTGGTTGTGATGAAACATGTTGTGTTCAGCTGCCCCAGACAGGTATGATCAAACAGATACATGAATCAGAATCACATGTAAGTCTTTTCCTACATACATACCGAGGCCGACGACTGCTGAACGACTTGCATAAGCTGTAAGCACTATTTCCGCTTCTCTCCAGACACTGCCTCTTGATAACGTGCTGGCTGCATTTGACTTATGTTTCTAGATGTCTAAAACTCTCCCATCGAACCAACATAATCCCACCTTTGGCAGTTTCCACACGTGTCTATTAGTCAATTCACAAGCGCCATGCGATCATAGCACATCCGACAATAGGGAGGGTGACAGCCAGTGACAGGCTCCGCAGGTAGGGCAGATCAGAGTTACATGTCAGAGTTACACCACAAAAGGAACGTCTCCTCCTCCATGATGGGACTTTTGCGGAGATAACCGGGCTCGTAAGTGTGTCCGATGCATTAGCCACGGAAGCGGCCCGCAGCTGGGACGATTGCCCGATTCTTTATCGTCCCGATGTCTGGGGAAAGGGAACTTGTTGGTCGACGGATCCCTAGCGTGAGGGGATTCGCGGGGTAAGTTAAGCCAGTCGTTCTAACGACTTCCAGTGGTGTGTGAGGCCAAACTGGGAAACTTTGAGATCGGCTTCAACGTTTCCGAGGTACCGACTTGTCATTCCCTCCCATAATCTCTCCACTCTGCCCGGCATTTGCCGACCTAAGCTCCGTAACTTGGCCTTCGAGTTGTCGGGTACGGATATTTATTAGCCATTTAAACTGTCGGAGACTGAATCGGAGGAGAATGGTTTATCATCGTAGCTATTCCTAGAGCATAAGGTGTGCCCTCCGGTTCTGGTAGGCTTTCTAATGGGTTTGAACTGGGGCTGCCAAAGAGGCTAAGTTGTTCAGTTTTCAATTGATCCATTTCTGTGCTCGTTTGTATATACCTTAGATACCACGATACCGATGGGAGTACCTAGCTGAAATGACATTGTGCATCCGCAATGAGACAGAGAGTCTCGTGCCAGCGGAGCGCAGGCCGAGATTTCAAGGTTGCCAAGAGTTCCCCGGATTCATCGTTCGGCCGTTGTTTCCCGATTGGGCCTACCCTGCCGCCAGAAATCTCGGCTCCCCCCTGTCCAAAGCAACTTCCGCCGAATTCTGACAGCTGGCCCGGTGTGTCCAGTCCTCCGCCCTCTTTTGTAATGTGCTTCTGCCACTTGGCTATGACTTTGTCACATGCAAGTTGTGAGGATGCCCCAGGCCCTTTCCCCCTTTGCGCATCATTGTGGCAAGACTGGGAGACCTGCCCCTTGCTGCCCCTAGCTGACGCGGAGGGGTTGAGGGGTTGAACCATGCTGCACCGTCAGACGTGAAGAGATGAACCATGATGTGAAGGGGCATCCGAGAATCTCCTTGTGGGGATTACTCGTCGAGCCAAGTGGACTAAGTCAGGAATCTGCAGGAGGTGACTCCTTGTCGAGCCAGGAGCCAAGCTAATAATCGCTCGAAACCCAAGAAGGCTCCGTTCGCAGCCCAGGTAGGTGGCCTGGCCCAAGGTGCCTTCCTGCGCGGCTTATGTTAAAGGCTGCTGGAATCCGGGGTTGGTAGCACCGCCGCAGTGGACACCCGCCCTCCCTCCAATATGCTTGCGCGCCGACCGGCTTAGCATGCTGCAACCGATCGAAGTCGCAAATACCATCATCGGTCGCTTTTATCCACATATCAAACAATTCTGCCCGTAAAAGTTCTGCAACACATTTCGAGACCAAAAGCGCAATACTCATAAACAACTCACATCATTATTCTGTGTTGTATCCCATGCTGATATCCCGGCGCAAATAACCAGATTTGCGGCCGAGCGTAGAGATTCGCGAGACTCGAACAACCCGAACTCCGTCTCCAGAAAAGGACGATCAGAGGAGCTTGGTGGCGGAACACGACGGGAGCACCGGCTCAATCGGTTGCCACGACCAGAGCCCGCCGCGCATCTCTCCTTCTCCAATTCCAGCCTACTGTCATCCCAAAACGAAACAACTAGGTAGGCGCCCGACTTGTCAGTTGGTGTGTGCCCCTCCGCTGTTGCCGAGATGGATCCGGTGTCGAGCCCCCCTACCGAGTCCACGCCGGCGAAACAGTCGTCGACATCGCCTTCACAACATTCGGCCACTCCATCTGCGCCGGCAGGTACGACGACGACAACCACGACGGCGGGGCAGCTAAGTTTCCGAAGGTTGGTCCTGTTGGTGTCGGCTCCTGCGGCGGGCGGGGCAAGCAGGTGTCGGTTGCGCTAACCTAGTCTTTTCCACAAATTGAAGACAACGAGCCTCGAGAGCGTGCGAGGTGAGTAGCTATCCAGCGCAATTTATGTTTGGTTGGGAGCCGGGTTGTGCGGTGGATTAGAGAAGACCCCTCCGAGGCTCGACTGCGATTACCACAGCCTCGCCTATCGTGCCTCGGCTCATCCGCCCGCCGGCATCTTGAGGACCGCGAAGCTGACCAGTCACCGTTTCCAGACATGCCATGCCCGCAAAGTACGGATACCCTCAGCCCATTGCAGCCGCAGATCCACCCGGCCTTCATGCTTGGTGTTTCGTTTATGATGTGGATGCTCACATCTACTTCTGCAGGTCCGCTGCGATGCCGCGAATCTCGGCGTTCCGTGTACCAATTGTGTCGCCTTCCAGATCGAATGTCGCATCCCGCAGCCAAAACGAAAGAAGGCCCAGGCCAATGCCGCGCCTTCCAGGGACTCAGATAGGTACATCAGGATTCCCTTCCCCCTAGCCGTTGCGCCATACCGGCAACTCCATGCCCGTCGCTTCCCTCTGCTCAGGCCCATCCCTCAGTCGCTTGATGTTGCTGTCCCCATGCTGTTGGCCGTGACGCTAACTTAACGACAGCGAACGAGGAGAGGAAGATAGGTCACCGCTTCCGCCTGGCACGGCCACGTTCCCGAGCGGGACCCGACCTCCGGCCGTCTATCACACCCACGAGGGCACCCCTTCGACCGCCAACATCGAGGTTGAGCAACAGAAAAAGGAGGAATTTGATAAAGCCACGCTTGCCAGCTACATGGACCTCGTCATGAAGCCCAAGTTCACGAGGGCACCCATTACCGAGGCCGGAAGAGTCGCCTACTTGGGCGAGTCCTCCAACCTTACACTTTTGGTCCACGACCGCCAAAACGACGGGGACGTGGTCCACTACCCCCTACCAGAAAACATTAGGGGATCGAGAGCGCGCTTGACCGAGTTGGACAACGTCGAGATCGAGATCCTACACCACCGAGGCGCCTTTCTCCTTCCACCACGGCTCCTTTGCGATGAGCTGATCGACTCATACTTCAAATGGATACATCCGATCGTCCCGGTGATCAATAAGACGAAATTCTTGCGACGTTACAAGGACCCGAAGAATCCTCCTTCGCTCCTCTTGCTTCAGGCTATGATGCTCGCTGGGTCGCGCGTCTGCACGAATCCGCAGTTGATGGATGCGAACGGTTCTTCGACGCCGGCTGCCCTAACCTTTTACAAAAGGGCCAAGGCCCTATACGACGCCAACTATGAGGACGATCGGGTTACCATCGTCCAGTCTCTTTTGCTCATGGGCTGGTATTGGGAGGGCCCCGAGGATGTCACTAAGAATGTCTTCTACTGGACTCGGGTGGCAACGATCGTTGCGCAAGGCTCAGGCATGCACCGCAGTGTGGAGGGGTCACAACTCAGCAAGTCGGACAAGAGGCTATGGAAACGGATTTGGTGGACACTGTTCACGAGGGATCGGTCGGTGGCCGTTGCCCTGGGGCGGCCTTGCCATATCAACCTGGACGACTCGGATGTTGAGATGTTGACCGAGGACGACTTTGTGGAGGATGAACCCGATCGACAAAGCGAGTACCCTCCGGATCCGATCCACGTGCAGTTTTTCCTACAATACGTCAAGCTCTGCGAGATCATGGGTCTCGTGCTCTCGCAGCAGTATTCAGTCGCCGCAAAGGGGCGTAGACACAATCCTATTGACCTTACCCACAGCGACATGGCGCTTGCCGACTGGCTGCAAAACTGTCCCAAGTTGGTATACTGGGAGGTGCCGAGGCACCACTTTTGGTCGGCCTTACTTCACTCAAATTACTACACCACCCTTTGCCTGCTTCATCGCGCGCATATGCCACCGAGTGGCTCCCAGAAGTTTGGGGACGACCATTATCCGTCTCGGAACATTGCCTTCCAGGCGGCTGGCATGATCACATCCATTATCGAAAACCTTTCCACTCGCGAAGAGCTTCGAATACTGCCCCGGCCTTTGTCGTGTATAGCTTGTTCTCGGCCCTTATCATGCACGTCTATCAAATGAGATCACCAGTGCCGACGATTCAGCAAGTCACCCAGGACCGGATACGAGACATGCATGAGCGCCTTGAAGGACGTTTCTAGGGTCTGGCTTGTCGGGAAAATGGTCCACACACTTTTCGAATCCATCCTAGGGAACAAAGTGCTTGAAGAAAGGCTTCAGAAGGCAGCTGGGAAACGGCACCGCAAGGCACAACAAAGCCTATCCCAACTAGAGCAACAACGTTACGCACAGGAGCAGAAGCGCAAGTACGATGAGATGGCTATCGACTTCAGCGTGAGCACACCCCAGCCGCAAGAATCGTACGAGCGCTCAAGACCACAGACACCAAGTATGGCCTCCAAGAACGAATCAGCGGCTGGGGCGATGCCGCCTCCCAACCATGCATCGCCGCACCCGCGCAACAACGGCGACACTTTTATGGGAGGGACAGCCTCGCGGCCGCATACACGACCGGCAACCCCTTTCAACCCCTCTTTCTCGATCCCTGGCACCCCTCCCGATCTCTATCTTGTCACAAGGAACTCGCCGAACCTGTCACAAGCCGTTTGGGAGAACTTCCAACCCGATCAGCTATTCCCGGAGAGTGCTCACGCTCCACTGTTCCAACCAATATCACCTCAGCAAGCACAACAGAACCTTGACCAGCAGCAGATGATGGCGCAGATGCAAAACCAGAACATGCAAGGGCAACCGATGGACGGCGGTCAGAATGTATTTGGCCAGGCCCTACCCAAGCGAGGGTTGGATGGTAGCCCGATGCAGCAAAATCCGATGATGCAGCAGGGTATGGCGGGTTCTTTCCAAGGCCAGCAGAACCCCAACATGTGGCATGGGTTCGAGGTACCCATGGTCGACGGGCAAAGCCCGAGCGATAGTTGGAGCACTGGCTCGGTACACGGTCAGCCGCCTGTACCGGCGACCCTTAACGTGGAAGATTGGTGAGTGGCCTACCTACTCTATCCGTTTTCCTATGGTATGTATGAGGACCTAGTTCTAACCCTATTTGCAGGTTCCAATTTTTCGGCATTCAAAATGACCCCGGAAACCCTATGAATCTTGACAACCTGTCCTTGTAGGCAGGCCGACGCGCATTTCCCCCGGTTTGTGCTTTGCTCCCAAGAGCCTGAGCACATCTATCTTATGCACTTTTCGGCCAGGAGCCATTGTATATAGTAGCATTCGTGACGAGGGGCTCATGGGGATGTCACAGATACCGTGCAATTGGCTGTGTTGGGTAATATTTCTACTTTTGGCTCCCTTGGGTAGGTAGCAAAGAGTCGATCTGGAATACGTTGCGTTTGTTGTTGTAATGGGCTCGGGCAAACATACCTGCAAGCGACCTGGTTTAGGTTGTTGTTGTTGTTGTTGTATGGATAAAGGTTACTGATATCGCAAATGGAGGAGTTAAGTTACGAAGTACTCCAACGCCCGTCGGCACTTCGGATGCACAACATGTTCAAGGTTGGGCCGCAGGTTGGGCCGCACAACCGCCACAGCGCGCACAAGGCGACGATGGCTTTGCGAAACCGCCATTGTACTTTGTAGTCCGTATCAGCCGGTGAAATGAGTCTCAACGGTCTCGGCCTCGAAATGAAAGTACCCCGGTAACTTCAGCATGATTGCCTTAGGTGGTACTGTGGAGAGTTTCAACTTTCCCAAGTCAGGTCCAGGTCAGTTCGAGATGCAATGCCAACTCTAGCGCCATCAACCTCGCCCAATCTCGTGTCGTCCTCGGCGATACCATTTGAGATGGGCAGATGCAAGCGCCCTCTCTGCATTTCAACCCCGCGCGCGATTGGGAGAGCGGGCCGCTGCGCAACCATGCTTTGGGACGAGCGAGGTTCGAGAATCATCTATAATATACCTCGACTATTCATCCCCACACCCCTGTCGTCTGTCGGCGCTTCTTTCTGGATGTCTCGGAGCCAATCGGTCGTTGGTTGGGTGGCCCCTCCTACCTTGCGTTGGGGCAGCTCTTCGAAAAGGGTCCCATGCCCTTCTTGTTCTCTCTGCCACATAATTCTTTGCTGGCGGTGTGAAGAGATGGGACCTCTGCAGACGCTAAATAAGCGCGGTGGTGGTTCGGGCCTTGTTCTTGGTGATGATTGACTAGAGTCACCATGCGCCTGTTGTCACCCCGCCCCCGCCATGGATGAACCCCTCAATCTCTTAATACGAAGAAATGAGCCTAGGTGTCCATCAAGCCAGATTTTGGAGATCATGGATACGGCGTACGATAGCTATTACTGCTCATCGAATGCGCGCTTGTAGGCTTCATGTGGGATGGACGCAACCGTCTCTGCCGCGGGGCGTCCATTTCCACTCGTCGAAGAAAGCGGGATGGAAGATGACTGCGGCGGCATGGTTACCACTCAAGCCACTCCAGTTAGGTAACGTCTGCGGCATCGCTTCGAGTGCCCAATTTGCGCCGCACAAAATGGCCACTGCGTTTAGAAGCGGCTGCCCAGTTTCCGCCCGATGAAGATGTCTGCCTGATAGACGCGCAATCCCCGTCCCCAAACGCGCGGATTAGATACCTATAGTAGGTTGTTGGCTCTTCAGGTAGGTTCCTTGCGGCTAACAACCGACCGAATCCCGACAGGGGTCTTCCCTCCATGACCACAGTGAGGGGCAGCCAAGCGTTTGCGGGAGTCCCCACTGCATGTGCTGCTGGATGCCCCTGCTGCAGGGCCTCCGCCAGTTGCCGCCTTCCGCTGCTGGGCGTAATCGTTGATCCTGACAGCTTCCATTCCATATGCCCGCCCAAGATTTCCTCCTGCCTAGCCCACACCTCATCCGCTGCCATACCCGAAGAATAGGTTGGTACCATGCGCAACATTAACGAATAATAACCTACCCCCCGTACTGGTCAACCACGAGATAATCCTTCCAGTAAATCCACCTCAACGTAACCCTGGCAGCGGCCACGTCCCCGCCGCCTCGCCCGACGAAGCTACACGCCCACATTACCCCAAGGCCCGACACCCAAGGCGGTTCTTGATCGCAACCTGGCCGAACAATTCTCTTATTGTGGGAAACCCGTGGGCGAAATAGTTGCGCGAGGCCCAAAACCATCCTAGGTGTCCTGCTTCGCGCATCACAAAACTCTGGCCCAAGATGACGCAAGCGCCCATGATCTCGGTGCCTCTCAAGGCTACCAACGAGATTGACTGGGTCACGCCTTTGAAGTCCTACATCCAAAACACGTATGGCGACGACCCCGAGAGATATGCCGAGGAATGCGCCACGCTCAACCGGCTGCGGCAAGACATGCGGGGAGCTGGGAAGGACAGCACCGCGGGGAGGGACCTCCTATACCGGTACTATGGTCAGCTCGAACTGTTGGATCTGCGCTTTCCGGTCGATGAACAGCATATCAGGGTCTCTTTCACCTGGTAAATATTCCTTCCCTCATTCCGTGGCTCCTTGTATTACCGCGTTCTAACACCGTCTGGTGCAGGTTTGATGCTTTCACACACAAGGCCACGGCGCAGTACTCGTTAGCGTTCGAAAAAGCGTCCATCATCTTCAACATCTCAGCTGTCCTGTCTTGCCACGCCGCCAACCAGACACGAACCGAAGAAGCAGGCCTCAAGCAGGCATACCACTCGTTCCAAGCCTCGGCCGGCATGTTTACGTACATCAACGAGAACTTCCTCCACGCCCCGTCCTCCGATCTTAGTAGGGAGACGGTAAAAGCTCTCATAAACATCATGTTGGCGCAAGCACAGGAGGTATTCCTGGAGAAGCAGATTGCCGACCAGAAGAAGATTGGCCTCCTAGCGAAATTGGCAAGCCAAGCTGCGACGCTTTATGGGCAGGCACTCGAGGGCATACAAGAAAACGTCACCAAGGCAATATTCGAGAAGGTATGGCTGCTGATGGTACAGGCCAAGTTCAACTTGATGGCTTCCACTGCCCAGTACTACCAGGCGCTTGCCGACGACGACGCGAACTCACACGGCATGGCCGTCGCTCGGCTACAGGTGGCCGAGAGTCACGCGCGAGAAGCCAATAAAATTGCCACCAACTTTCCAAGCTCCGTGCCGCCCAGCTCGAACCTGACAGCAGACTGTGGCGCTACACTAGCCGAGGGCACCAAGAGACACCTGGCTACGGTTCAGCAAAAGCTCAAAGAACTGACCAAAGATAATGATTTTATTTACCACCAGCCGGTGCCTGATGCGGCCGGAGTACCGGCAGTAGCAAAACTACCGGCTGCGAAACCAATCCCAGTCAGCGAGCTTTACGCGGGGCAGGACATTCAACGGATCACGGGCCCTGACCTGTTTGCGAAGATCGTTCCCCTAGCAGTGACCGAATCAGCGAGCTTGTACGATGAGGAGAAGGCGAAGCTGGTGAGGGCAGAGACGGAGAGGGTAGACACTGCGAACGGCGAGATGGCCGCAAGCCTGGATTACCTGAGGCTACCTGGCGCCTTACAGGTTCTGAAGGGCGGCTTCGACCAGGAAATCTTGCCCGACGAGGACTTTAGGACATGGTGTGTCGATGTGGCGGACCACGAAGATCCCTCCAAGATTTTCGACGTTCTACATACGCAGAAGCAAACGATAGTGGCGTGTTTGGAGAGGAGCAGCAAGCAATTGGACATGGAGGAAAGCGTGTGTGAGAAGATGAGGTCCAAATACGAGTCGGATTGGACGCAACAACCCAGCTCGCGGCTCACCACCACACTAAGAGGTGATATCCGAAATTATCGGGAGGCATTAGACGAAGCCGGGAGGAGTGATGGTCAACTCGCCACGAAGCTACGGCAGAACGAATCCGAGTTCGGCGAAATGCGTTCAGCCGCCGAGAACGGTGAGGTCGACGCTCTATTCCAACGAGCTGTGAAGAAGGTACGGAAATCGAGCAATGCCAACAGCCCCTCCTCGGAACCCAACCTACTCGATGCCGACTTCGACGATGGCGGGCCTAGTGTTGTCGATCAAATCGCCAAGGTAGAGGATATTCTGAAGAGGTTGAACCTCATCAAGCGGGAGCGCATTCAAGTGCTCAAGGACTTGAAGGAGAAGGTATGTTGGGCGTCAAACTGACTAATAGGGGTGTTCAACTAACCAAATACATTAGGCACACAACGACGACATATCACAGATATTGATCCTGAACAAGAAGTCCATCGCCAACTACGAGCAGCAGTTATTCCAACAGGAGCTCGAGAAATACCGGGGGTTCCAAAACCGTCTGGTCCAGGCGACCCACAAGCAGGCAGCCTTGATGCGAGAGCTAACTGTCGCATTTAATGGTCTTCTGCAGGACAAACGGGTCCGGGCAGAGCAGAGCAAATACGAGTCGTTCCAGCGACAGAGGGGAGCGGTGATCGGAAGGTACAAACGGGCGTACCAGGAGTTTTTGGATCTTGAGGCCGGCCTTCAAAGCGCGAAAACCTGGTACAAGGAAATGAAGGAGACGGTCGAAAGTCTTGAGAAGAACGTTGAGACCTTCGTCAACAACCGGCGATCCGAGGGCGCTCAACTACTCAACCAGATCGAGCAGGACCGGGCCGCGAACAAGGGCGCGCAAGCTGCGATGGAGCAGGAACGGATAAGAGGCTTGATGGAGCGCATGTCGATGGAACCGCCAGCAACATCCCCCAAACCAACCTCGTCACGGCCGACGCCTGCACCCCTCTCTTTCAGCCCGGGACCTATGTACCCCAAGACGACCTTTTCCGGGCAATACCAGCTTCCCAGCTCACCTCCACCGACGCAAACCGCCGCCCCGCAGTCATACATGCAGCAGCCAGGGGGCCAGACTTTTACCTACAACCCCAGTTCTCATGGCCGCATTCCCGGCCCGGCGTCCCCCCCGCCAACACAATCGACTTTCAATATTGGCCACATGCGGCCCGGTCCAGCATCCCCACCACCGACGCAGACCACGTTTTCCCAACCGTCGCGGTACAGCACTTACGGGAACCCAGCTGCCATGCCGCATCAACAACCGCAACAGCAGCAGCAATTACCAATCCAGCAACAGCAACAGCACGCGAGCTACGTCCCACCTAACTTTGTGCCGCCTCCGCCTCCGCCCGGACCGCCGCCACTGGGGCCCCAGCAAACGGTACATTATGGAGCGGGATACTACAATGGTGACCCGAACGCGGGGAGGCCGGGGTCGGCGCAGCAGCATATACCCGGGCAGGGACAAGGGCCTAACCAGGGGCAGCAGGACCCATGGGCCGGACTGAGTGCGTGGAAATGAACCTGCGGTGGCTGGTTTGGACATGAGAGGGAGATGGCGAGCTGTTAATGCGGGGGGCGATATGGCAGGAGGGGGTGAGGCAGTGTTGCCGACCGAGTAAGGGGCTCGGCGAGCTTGGATCGGGGTGACTGCTCCGTCTGTGAACATGGAAACGCGAGATGACTTGGCATGGCAGAGCAGATGATATGGGGAGATTTTGGAATAGAATCAGCGAAGCCACGTGGAATGGAATATCAAATTTCCCAGTGGTTATGACCGGGCTGATCCAGCCCCGATATTCGGCGGGGTGGTGGTGGCCGAAGGGTGTGATACTTGGCCCCGATCCCTTCATCGGGAGTGATTCAATCCGCTCACCTCTCTTTTATATTCCGTCAAGGCGAAAGATCGAGTGCCATTGGAATATACAGCTGAGTTCAACCTTTGTTGCTCCTTAGCATGCAACAACTCTTGGCAGGGGCCGAGTTGGGAAAAAAAGAAAGAAAGAAAAGAAAACAGAAAGAAAAGAGAAACCGGGAAGTATTGGAAAGGAGCTGCACACAAAGCAAAGCACGAGGAAGAAAAGAAGAAATATGCTCGAGTCTCAATTCTCTACTCCCCTCGCTTTCTCTCCCGCCGGTCTGCTGATACCTTGGATCTGCCTCTGCCAGCATCAAACCGTGCTGAGCACACTTGGGTGTTATTACTCCTTTTCCCTTTGCTTGAGCCGTTTCCCCAGGAACGGCTCCCCTGAAGGCGGGGCAGGTAATCTGCTGCGGGGAAAATATCAGCCCCTTATGGACCCTCGGGGCTCCCCTCTCGCAGGCTGCGGGGTAGGTGGGGGTTCCGGGATGGGGGAAACTGCAGATGCAAGTTGGGCTCGTCATCCGGCACTTCGCGCGGTATGGCCAGGAATAATCTAAGGCGTATGGACCCAGAAGGAAAGGCCGTTGCTGTTGGTGCTTACCTTAGGCTGATATACCCCGGGGTTTTCCATCTGCTGCGAGTTCGGTGAATCTGTGACGAGGCGATCGCACTGGAGACGGCGCCTCATTTAAGCTCCGAGAGGCCCGTTCCGCCCGTCCCACCCTCACTTTCACCTGTTCCAGTTGCAGTCCGTTATATCGAGCATTGATGCCATTGTCAAAAACCATTTGACCATCTTCTTGTGCAAATACCTGAGAACTGAGAATTAACACCGCACGTACTTGTGAAGATGTCATTCGATCGTGAGATTCTACCCCTCCTCCTCTACCCCTCTCCCCTCGGAAGGTTCCTGACCCTGACCACCCCCGGTCTTGTCCGGTTCGCCCC